ATTGCAATTTGTTCATGTGGAAGATAATCAGGAAGTTTTTTTTCAGACAACAAAAAAAATAATGTACCACAAACAATCAAACATACAATCAATCAATCAGTTTTTTTTCTCATTTATTTATTTCGAAAGGTGAAGAGTGTTATTTTGTTTGTTCAAAGAATTGGTTTTGTGTTTTTGCGACAAAATAACAGTTTTTATCCAAAGAGAGGCAAGAAAAAATACAATCAGAAAAAAAGCCGCCATTTAAAAAAACGAATCTTTCATCTTTTATTTTCCAAAAAACAACCAAATACATCAAAAAGAAAAAAAGGTCATCGTTCCTTTTTGTAATGATGATGATGATGACATGGAACATGATGCTCAACAAACAAACAAACAAACACTGTTGTTGTTGTTTCCTATTCGGATTTTTTTTCCATTCTATTTTCGTCATTGCTATTGGATATTCATTTACCATTAAAGTTTCGGGCAATGGTAAAACTTTCTTTCTTTCTTTCTCATTTTTTTTTGTAATTTGAGGATGTTATTCAAGATTTCTTTTGTTACACCCGAAAAAAAATGTAACATTATTTAATTTTTTTGTTTGTTTGTTTGTTGCATTTGATTGTTCTACATTTTTATACAATAGAAAAGAAAATTAACACTTCATTCATTCGAGACATTTATTATTTCATTTTGCAAACGGAAAAAATTGCTGACGACCTCAAATATATAAACAAATTGGTCATTTTAATTCCAATCAAATTTCGTTTGTCGTTTTTTTTCGTCTTTGTCATTTTTGTTTCGCATTTGTGTGTGCTTTATGTTTCATCCTTTTCATTTTGTTTTGTTTTGTTGAATTTCCAAACTTCTTTTTTTTCCGATTGATCTACATTGAATCAAATCGAATTGGATTGCAGGTCAAATTTTTGTTTTCGCTTTGTTGTTATTTTGTTGCAATTTGATTCTTGTCTGTTTGCAATAACAAAAATGATGATGAAATCTAAATCATTATTTAACAACAACAACTAATAATAATTATGATGATAACATTGTTAGATTCACAAGTGAAACTGTATGAAATTTTGTTTGCTTGTTTGTTTTTGCTTTTGCTTGAGGACAGAGATTTTTCTTCTCTTTAGTCTCTATGTGTTTTCTCTCGAAAGTTTTTATAAGAATTTACCATTAAATTGTGTGTGTGTGTGTGTGTGTGTCAATTAACACATATTGCCTGCTGCGAGAATATCATTTAGTTTGAAATTAACACTCAATCGAAAGAATCCCCAGAGTTACACAACAACAACAACAAAATTGGTAGTATTCCAATGCTAGCTTTTTTTTCATTTGTACCAAAAAAAAAGAAACGTACTAAAATAATTTCATTCCACTCACAATGACAATGGACAAAATGCTAATCAACGACGTTGACGACAAGTCAAATATTTTGATTGCTGATTAGTTTGTTGCTCTTGCATGTCTTTATTGTTTATGTTAAGTTTTGGTGTAGATTTTTTTTTGTTGTGTATATGGCTATTCCATAAGGAATACTGCTTAGATTCTAAAACAACAAAACATGCAGAATAGCTATTCCTAATAGGACTGGAAAAAAACTAGCATTGATAAGCAGCTTATCAAATACAACAACATGAATCTGAAATAGCTACCGAAGCAAAAAAAAAAAACAAAAATACCCAACAAAAAACAAAACGAAAAATATTCATATTTCTGTATGTACAAACATGTTCGTTGGAAGAAATTGCCAAATGGCACGAGATCAAGGAATTCATTTTTTTCTTCTGTCTTCATTAATTTGGTTGAAATAACATGCTTTAAATTACAATCATAACATTAACATGACGTTTATGTATAAGATTTATATGAATTCTTCGTACAATTAGCGTTTAAAATATATAATTAGTATATTAACTAACATTTAATTGATTGAAATTAGCCATTCTAATCCATTTTGTCATCAACATAATTTATTCTTCATTAATAATAATAATAATGATTACAATATAAATTAGCTCAGGTGTGTTTCGAGTGTGTCACGAATATCCGAAAAAAATAAAGCTAAGATATAATAGATTGATTTATAATAATTCGTAATCAATTATACAGTTATTAATTTAATTATTACATGAAAATTGGATCAACAACAAAAAGCTGAGTTAATATGATTATGAAAAACCCGCCATAATAATCTTATGCAATTAATCAAATTGATTGTCAACATATGATGACAAAAATCTCTTTTATTAAATCAATATTAAATAAATAATCCATGATTAACATTGAATTTTGTTTGAATTTCAATTCAAGCATTCAATGTAATAATCATTCATTGATCATGCAAAATCCGATCAGAAAAATAAAAATAAAAACACTGTTGCTAATTTTTTTTTTCAAAGGCAGCCAATAATAATGTTTTGTATATTACAACATACAACGGGTTTAAAAGAAAGATAAAAAAAACCACATTCATACTTAAATTGGATTTGTGTTTTTTTTTTTGGAAAATAAAAACCAAAAAAATACTGTGATTGTATCAAAATCTTGTATTAATAGTAATCTATTAGGTAATCTCTAAGTGTATATTTTTCTTTATTGATTCTTTTTTTTATATCATAATAGCATCAATTTTATAATAATCATAATAATAATAATAATAAGAATCATCAAGTTTTTTTTCACTGTTATGTTTTGTTTTGCTTTGTTTTGTTATGTAGTGAATCGACCAACTGAAACAAGATGACGATGCTTGTTCACAAGTATTTTTTTTTCAAAGTTAAGTAGGGATCAATTTTCCGTTCACTATCTATGATGGTTTTCTTTTTCTTTTTTTTTAGTTTTATAAAAAAAAGGCGATAATCTTGTGATAAGCTTAGCTTTAGTAATAATAGTGAACATACTTTATTGTCATTACCGACCAAGAAATTTGTGTTCATATACAATGACGGGATCTTATTGTATATTAAATTAGATTTAATAGACAGAAATACGTTGTGTTTTTTCCACCCCTCTCAATTTCTTTATTTTTCCGATAAAAACATGATGATAATCATAATGATAAAGATGAACACATTAAGAACTTAATGTGATTATCAAACACACACACACACACACATGCTATACATTTGAAGAAGAAAAAAAAAATTGATTCCGGCTTTTTTTTCTTCGATCAAAAACATTTTTTTATAAATATCTCAACGAAATTATCAATCAACTATATTTTTTTCCAGAAAATGTTGTTATCGATTAGGTTTTTGGAATCGATTCCATTTTTTTTTAAATATATTTTTGATTCTTCAAGATAATGCGCAATCAGAATAATGATATTCGAACAACTTTACAGATCTTTGATTCAATTTGATCATCATCATTATTGTTATCATCAATTAATTTTGATGTGTATGAAAAAAAAGACCAGAGAAAAAAAAAATTATTAATTTTCTCTAAACGACCGAATAGTGGTGTATACAACGAGAACGATACAATTTTTCTTCGTATTTTTTTTCCCTTCGTTGTTTGTTCGGATTATATTGCTCTTCACAATCGTCCATCATAGAGTTGTATGTATGTATGTTCCCTTCAGTTGATTGATTGCGCCGGGGATTTACTTTTTAGATTTTTCATATGTTTGTATTCTCTTCTTGTTTGCTTGCCTTGGTACAAAAACTTTTTCATTCTTTTCTTTCTTTTTCTTTGGTTATTTTTGTCGGGACCTGCCATCATTTTTTTCGAGATCAATTAAAATAAGATTGACAAGACGCCAAGCGCAAGTCTCTCTTTTTTTTGTTTCATTATTCTGTTAGTTTAGTTTCTAAACAAAAAAATTTTTTTGGGCGTCCAATTGAATTTGATTGACGAATGAAGCCAAAAAAAAACGATAAATTGAATATACACAAATAATAATAATAATAACTACAAATGGGAGGGGCAAAATGTTTAACAAGGCGGAGCATACAATATATATATCAATGTTATCAAGGGGCTGGAAAATGATATTGATAACTACCAATCCTAAACAAGTATGAATATACGAACAAAAAGCTGTCTAACAACAACGAAGAACAAAAAAAAACAACCAAACAAGATCCTATGGCTTATAAGCGCAAACAAAATCTGTTTGTTGTCGTCATTTATTCGTTTGCTGTAGTTCTTAAAATATTATTATCATCGTTGATATTCGTCATACTATACACAACACATAGATACAACAACAGCAAAAAAAATCCCTTAAAATAACCATCGTTACCGAATTTATATACCATTTCTTCACTTTAGTTGAGTTTGAATTTCATGAGTGTAGTTCATTCGTTTGATCGTCATCATCATTGAAACAACACAACCAAACAAACATCGAAACAAACAAACAAACAAACGAGTGCGAAAGAAAAGAAGCGATTAAATTACGAAAAAATGCTAAATACGATTATTTGATTAGCAGCCATTGATCAACCACACACATACACATACACACATAGACATTTAAAGTATCTGTCGTCTGAATCTTTTTTTTTTAATAATAGAATATATATACCAACCACCTTATAAACTCTTAATCGTATTTGTCCAGATCAAGATTATCTTCTTTCATCTTTTTTTCAATATTATTTTAAACAATTTTTTCTTCTTCTGATTTAACCGTTCACCTTGTTCATATATATTGTGTTGTTTGCTTAACTACTTTTGATTTTTTTTTTGTTCATCCATTGATAATAACTTTTTAATCTATCGACACACACACACGCAACAACATTGTAGTAATTTTTTTTTTGTAATAATCACAACAACAAAGATTAATTTTTTTCTGGTTTAACGGAATCAATTTTCGGATGTGGTTATTATTATTGGATTTTTGGATTTTCTTTTCGTCATCTTCATCCTATTGATTATCAACTGATTTGATCCGATTTTTCTACAAGTGTTTACGTTTGTGTGTGTAAATTTGCAAATTGATACTTATAATATTGATTATAATATTCATCATCTACCGCTGACAACTTCTTTGATAATATTAATCTTATTAATAAAGAAATTTCAAGATTAAACAATTTTTATATTAAAAAACTAATCGCACAATCATCATAGCTAAATGACACCTACATTTTCAAATCGTTATTACTTGTAAATAATTATTTTTTAATTTATTCAAATTGTATTCTTGAGAATTATTCTGATCAATCCTATTAATTCATTTTTTGTTTATTTTTTTTCTGTTTGAAATTTTTTGTTTAGATCAAATTTGACCAATACAAGTCAATTTCCATATCCCGGTTACGCATTTAATCATAATCCACATTCACAACAACATCTACATTCAAATTATTATCATTATCCAAATAATAATCAAACATTACAAGTTGATACATTAGGTTTTTCATCACCAACATCATCTTCGACATCATCATCATCAACACCTATTCGATCATCAATCAATAAACCAGATTATTCATCTGAAACTGATCGTCAAGAATCAATTTCTAAATATAAAGTAAATACAGAAATTGATACAACATATAGTGATTCATACGAATCACTTATACAATCAAATCAATCAATTGTTCAAACTGTACCGACAAATCTTGAAAATTTAATTAATAAAAAATTACAAAGACCATCGCCAACATCAACACCTATTAGCAATATTAGTACAACTGAAGATTTATCATTGTCTTCCAATTCTATTCGTTCATCGACACCTACATCACCATCATCTAATATTAATCATACTCATCATCATCATCATCATAACAATCAAACCGCTGTTTTGGATATTGCTGGCTATCGAACACAACCTCCAACATCATCATCATCATCGCTTCAATCTCATTACCGTAATCAACAACAACAATCATCATCATCATCATCGGTTGCAAATTTTTCGGGCGATTTTTCAACAAGATCGGCAAATAGCCATACAAATTTTGCATCACAATCAAACATGAATAGCAGCCATCATGCAATGTCTGCATATCTTAAATCAAATCCTTATGCTATGAATGGAATAGCTGGTATAACATCACCAAGCGATCTATTACATCCTGGTTATCCTGGTAAGTATATAAAATTTGTCATTTTTCCATTATTTTGTACGAAAAAGAATTCTATAACCGTAAACAACAAAATGATTTGATTGTTTGTAAAAGGACAACATTTCAAACACTTAGATTGTGTCCAGTGAGATGGTGTCTGACCAATGAAAAGATTTTTCATACACGTTTGTTCCAGTATACAACAACAATCACTTATGGTAAATTGAATCTATTGTTGTGTCTCGCCAACGTCGAATCAACAATAAGTAATTTTTTTTTGAAATACAAAATTTATTCGCGAGCAAATACAATTCTAAAATTTATCATGAGACATGTTTCCGATATGCATTTCCGATATTGTCTAGCAAAATCAATTAGAATTGAGCCTTGAGTTTATAACATTCTTTTGAATATGAATACCAAGAATTTATTCAGTCTATACTTTATCCAATTGACATGATGATGAATATTATTTAAGAATTTACATCATTCTTCTAGAATTTTGACAAATTTTTGTCTGCAAAACATTGAACAAATATTGTAGGAGGTAAACGAAACAAAATGAGAAAAAAAATCGTTCCAGGTGGTAGACATTTGTTGAATTTTCAATCAGTTGGTATAAAATTTGTCAATAATAATTTTTTTCGGGTAATCATTGTTGTTAATTATTATAGCTTTATTTTTTTCACCAGTCAAATTGGTTGATGGTTGCTGTTCGGTGGTAGGTCATATGAATCGTATTGTGATTTTTTGTTAATGGGGAAAAAAAGAATGACGAAAAAAGAAAAATACAAAGGTAAAAACGGGCCAAAAGCAAAAAAGGATCAGGAAAATTGTAGGATTAAAAAAAATTGTGCTGAACAAAATGAGAAGAAGAAAAAAAAATTAATCCTGTTTTTGAATTGAGCTTGAATTTATTATAATGGGGGGTAGTACACTAGCCATACTGTTTGAAACAACTAAGGGGTCCAGGTTATATATATATCGATTACAGATCCTAACGTATCATTGATAATTTTGACCGTCATTCATATACAATGATCACTAATCTGGCTATTGTAATATTTAGTTTTTTTTTTGGTTAGGTCGAATCGATCTATAATCCTTGTATTCATTTCATTTTATTTTTATTTTTTCGACCCGTCAACCGATAAAAACTAGATGAATTGTTCAGAAGGAGAAACAAAAATGAATCAAGCCATGTATTTATTACCACTGTTAAAAAAAAATTTCCAAAAACTATAAATGAAACAAAGTATACCTGGATGGATTTATTTCTTGAATTGTTCTTATTATTATTATCATCATTTTTGTGTATGCAAATTTTCAATAAACGACCTCGACAATCATTGAAAGTGATGCTTATTACTATTATTACTGTTGTTACTCTCTACATCAATTCAATCAATTGCTTTTCATCATGATGATGACAACGATTATGTTGATTCCTGCTAGAACTTTGTTAAAGCGTATATACAATGTAAAAATTGTGTTTAGTATTATAAACAATTATAGTTGACCTAAGAAGACCAAGTCTAATTGTTTATCGGATTAAGAAATTTTGAAATAGTAAAAAACGAATCGAAAGAGAGGGAAAGAAAAAATTAGAAACCAGCCTGGTTTGTGTGCTGGAACAGCAAAATGTCAATTTTTCTCTACATCTGCCAATGAATACGAATTGTATTTTTTCGACCCAACTTTTTTTTTTTGCAGGACAGGATTCTTTTTCATTTACAAAGATGAGATCCGTCCTATATGTATACCCGAACACAACACAATGTTCGATGTTAATCCGGCTGTTTTTCTTGCGTTGCGTTCTTTTTTGTCTGCATATGGCAGCTTTTTTCTGGTTATTTTTATTTTGGCCAAACTTTTTTTTCTGTTTTTGTTGTTGTTGTTGACTCGATGATGATGATGAAGTATATACGAACCGTGTGAAAACCATACCCAAATCTTTTGCTGTCGGATTAAAATTCTCGTTCATTTTTTTTTTTTTGATTGGAAGTTTTTTTCTTCTTCAATGCATGCTTTGAGCGGGTGTGTGTGTATCTCAATGTATGTATGTTCATGTTTCCTGTTCCAAACAATTGTTTTCATTATCAACCAGATTAACATAGCAGTTAGTATTCAGTTCAATCTTGACCGTTGTATTCATATTAGTCGATTATCAACAAATGTCATGAACGTATTTCCAACAAACAAATCTATATCATTAACAATACGGTTGTTTAATTTTTTCTTCGAATATATAAATGATGACTGATTTTCAATAAAAATCTATCGAGAAAAACAAAAAAAAATTTAATTTTAAATCCATTTACTGGCCTGTTTTCAGGAACATTATCACCCAATGGACCAAATCAACCACCACGAAAACAACGCCGTGAACGTACGACATTTACTCGTGCTCAATTGGATATATTGGAAGCATTATTTGGTAAAACACGATATCCAGATATATTTATGCGTGAAGAGGTAGCTTTAAAAATTAATCTACCCGAATCTAGAGTACAGGTAAGTGATTTCGATCATAGTGATTCTTTTGATTTAGATTGATATTCATTTTTGAAAAATTATGATTATCATAGGTATGGTTTAAAAATCGACGAGCTAAATGTCGTCAACAAGCTCAACAAGCCCAAAATGGTAATCAAAATGCAGCAAATAAGAATCGTCCTAAAAAATCAAAAAGTCCTACGGCTACCGGATCATCAACTAGTTCTCCACCAGCATCAATTAATCGCGATTCACCATACAAACCACCCTCATTGAATAGTATTACATCAAGTAGTAATAGCACCGGATCACTTTGTTCATCAGTCACATCAAACAATTCAAGGTATTTTCCGTTATAATATTGATGAAATGATGATTGATTAAAAATTTATTTTTTATTAATAGTGCCAACATGTCATATAGTTCAATATGGAGTCCGGCAGCGATAGCACCCGTATCGGATCTTATGGCCGGCAATAGCTGTATGCAACGAGCAACGGCAGCCTATCATCACCATCAAATGGCAAGTAATGCACCAAATACTAGTGGCCCTTGTTATCCATCGCAAGGATATGGCCATCCGTCCGCATATCATTATGGTAACGCAATGGATTATCATGCCATGTCGGCTATGCCATCCATGTCACATCATCATACACAATTAGGAGCATCGATGAGTTCAGCATCATTAGCAAATCAAATGGCAGCCGGTGGTCCACCACCAATGAGCGCACATATGAATCCAATGTCTTCACATTCTAGCCTACATGCTAGTAGCCATGTACCATCATCACAATCACGAACATCACCACCGAATGGATCATTATCAGGAGGTCATAATGATTGTATCGATTATAATACGGAAAAGGCTAATTGGAAATTTCAAGTGTTATGAAAACAAAAATTCGCTTTTGAATATTCATCAATCAAAATCCCACAAAATTTAAAATTCTCTCATAAAAAAAACCGTGATTTTCATCATCAATATGATCTATCATGAAGCCCTCATATGACATTTATACTGATGGCAATTTTAAATTTAAACAAAACAAAAAAAAAACGTAACAAAAACCCGCCGAATTTTCGTCATCAGAATCATCATCAGCATCATTGTCCGTAAAAAATATATCATAAATATTGATCTCATCTTTTTTCATTTGGATGGATCTGATTTTATCATCATCATCATCATCATACACAATGTTCACATTTATTTTTTCACACATATTCATACTCGTAGAGTTTGATGGACTTTTAACATCTCAATCGACGATTTCATTATAATTATTAAATACATTCACATAATACAATTCAATTGTTGTAAAATAGTTACAATTTCATTATTCAAACACTTTAATTAGATCAAACATTTTCATACTACGAAAAAAAACTAATAACCAATAGATTTTTATTTTCGGCTAATAATCAACATTTGACATATTCAAACAAATTTTTTTTTTTGAATAACATTATTCAACTATTACAACCAACATTTGTCATTCATTAATTGTTCATCAAAACGATAAAAAACTAAAATTAGAATCCTGTTAATATAATCTGATTCTTGCTTTAAAAAGATAGTTTTTTTCGGTCAATTCTTTTTTCTTGATTCATTTTCATCATCATCATCGATTGGAAAATTATAAAAAAAAAATTTTTGTAAATAAATTCTTTAGGCGCATTATAATAGGCATGATCATTTAATTCACATCCAACAAAAAAAAAATCATTCAAAATCAAATAGAAAACAAAAATCAAACATTCATTTGAATATAAACGAAACAAAATAATTGATTTTCATAATAATTTGAATAAAATTAATTAAAGAAAAAAATTGATTTGATTTCAATCATTTTTTTTTGAATTTTGAATTTACATCATTCAACACTAGATGCCGTTAGTAAAAACATTCGACATTCGAATTCGAATGTTATCATTATTATCATCGTTCGATGGACAACCATTCACCTTAATTTTTCAAAATTGATAAAAATTAGATATATTTTTGTTTTGCAATTTTTTTTGGAAATTTAATCTAAATTGGGAAATGATAATATAATTCATTTGTAGTTTGCCGTAGTAAATATCAGTGTGTGTGTGTGTTTTTTTTTGTTGCGTTGTTATCAACATCCTTCCGCTCAATGATGATTTTAATTTTTGAGTGAATTTGATTTGGTAAAAAATTTGTTAAATGTAAAATTTATATTTTCTTTATCGTCATCATCATCATCATCATCATCATCATCATCCTAATCAATGTTTATTTATACCCACCCACACTATCATAAACATTTAGAAAGGAAAAATGATAGGAATCCATGGAAACAATAAACAAAAAAAAAACATGCATGCATGTAAAATTGTTGTAATTGTTGATATAATTTATTGGTTTTTGATTGACAGTAAAAAAAAATGATTGAAACGCACACACACACAGTAATGATGCATGATATCATTATCCTGTGTATGTGAAATATAATGGCCTATTCTAATTTTGGTATTTTTTTTTTCATTTGAATTTCCGAATATTCGAATGACAATCATAATCATTCATCGAAAATAAGAGAGAAAGAAAAAAAACTTAATTTCGCTTTCGTCGTCATCGTTGGCCAACCAATTTTCTTTTGTATTTTATAAACATTCACATGAATCGCAAATTGTATATGATTATCACAACAGTCAATGAAAATTTCTTTCTATTTTTTCCATTTTTGTTTCAACAGTTTCATCATTTTACTTGAACTAGGACAGTTCAATACTCGTAAAAAGCATACTCGTAAATTCAATATTATTTTGTATTATTGAAAAAAAACACACAGACACAACAATCAGTGAAACAAAACAACAACAAAAAAAAAGAGAGACAATTAGTAAGCATATTTGATTACAATTTCCAAGTTTCAATTTTTCGTTTTCTCTTTTTTTTGATTTTATCCATGTTCGTTGTATTTTCCTATTTTGTTGCTTGCGTTTATAATACCATAAACATGACATGAAAAAAAAACTAACATTACAATCTATCATGACCACAATCATAATCATTATCCTGTTTGAATGTTGTTGTTGAATACATGTATTATTATTGTCAAACAAAACAATAATTTTTTAAGTGTGAATATAAATTCTATAGAATTGTTCTTAAATTATTTAATTTTCTTTTGTTGTTGTTGTTGTTGTTGTTTTTAAATAATATAGCTTTCATCGAAAGAATACAATAAACAGAAAAAAGAAATGGCTCCAATCGAAGGATATTGGGGCCATCCAACTTCTACAATTGATTGGTGTGAAGAAAATTACATAACAACAAAATATATTGCCGAATTTTGGAATACTGTTTCTAATTTGGCAATGATTATACCATCGATTACCGGTTTCTATTATGCATACCATAATAAACTTCATATCCGATTTATGTTATGTTTTCTTAGTATTGCTTTTGTTGGTTTTGGTTCATGGAATTTTCATATGACTCTTTTGTATGAAATGCAATTATTCGACGAAATACCAATGATATGGGGAAGTTTAATATTGGTCTATTGTCTTATGATTCATTATTATCCGATGTTACAGGAAAATTTTTACAAAAACCTAATGCTTAAAACGATTCTGGTCACCTATGGTGTTTTATCATTGCTCACCTATTTATACCTCAAAACGCCAATTCTATTTCAAATATCCTATGTTATTCTGGTCACTTATATGCTTTATTTTACCATCTTATTGCTCAAATATCGTCCATGTAATAAAACGGTGTTCTATGTTGGCACTATCATCTACTATTTTGGAGCATTTCTATGGATGATCGATAATTTCTATTGCAATCAATTACAATTATTTCGTCAAACCAATACAATTTTACCTTTTATATTGAATCCATTAACACAGCTACATGCTTGGTGGCATGTATTTGCAGGTTATGGATCTTATCTACATATTTTATTCTGTACACATTCAACTTATCTAGCGACGGAAAAACCGTTAGTATTTAAATTTACTTGGTATGTTGGCCTAATACTTGATCGTTGTGAATCAAATCAACAATCTACAAATGGTATATCAACGATTAAAAAAATGACATAATTTTATTCGAAGTTTTATTCTTTTGTTGCTACATATATAATATAATTTAATTTAAATTTTCAAAAGACAAACTAATAAAATTATGAAAAATGGAATTCATTCATTCATTTACCTGCAGGATATTATTACAAAATTTTTATTATAATTCTGTATCAGCTGTGAATGTTAAAATCCCTTTAATATAATGTACCCGTGACGATCATATTGACTGCTACCACTATCATATGATGCTGCTTCTATCTTACCACACTGAAAAAAAAGGATTTGTATCTCGTGCGCATTAATTTTTTGTTGTTGTTGTTGTTGACTGCTATTGTGTTTACATATTTTTCGTTTCATTTTTTATTCCATTCTTGGATTCTCTTATTGGAAACAATTAGATTTTGGTTGCAAAAAAAAAGAAACATTTTTTTTTGATTTCAATATTTTTATTTTATCTTTCGTTATCCTGTGATCATCATCAACACAAACATTCATTACAGACACACAATTAGTCATTTAATTAAAATTAATTAAAACTTGTGATACCTATTCTATTTGGCTTTATAAAATCTCATCATTTTCTTTTTGCCATGTTCATTGATCCGCACAGATCTTAGACATTTATCAAGGTTTGAAATCTGGTGTTAAACATAATAGATTTTAATTTAAATCAATAATTTTATTCTGAACACAGGCTAATTTTATAATGATATTGGATGCCATTTCATCATCGAACAATCAATCCATGTTAGAATTTTTTTCGTAGCCAAATGGTAAGAAAATTTTGATTCAGATGTTTTAATTTTGATTTCTATCTTCTATTTGTTCATTATAGTTTGAACCAATGCCTAACAGAATTGTCATTACGAATCAATCTAATCTTCATCAATCGAATGATCATCATTATAATTATCAACAACAGATACCTCCACCCCATTTAAACAAATTACCTGCTGGTCGACAGCGTAATTCGGATCTTGAACAACCATCATCCGAAACTGATTTAAATCTAGATACCAATGAAACAATTAATGCAATCTCGACTGCCAAACAGCCATTAACTCAACAAAATCAATCAACGTATCAATCATTTGCCGATATTGCAGATCCTGTACAAAATCCTCATCTCTTCATTCATGTAGCATCAGGACAAAAAATTTCTCGACCATGGCAAGCTTATATCAGTGATTTAGATGACTTTTTCGAACGAATCTATTATTACTATCGAAAATCTGGTTTTATTTGTATAGTGGTGGAAAATATTTTGGAATTATTGGAAGTTTTATTGGTCGTATTGTTTACCGTATTCTTTCTACATTGTATTGATTATCAAGTGTTGTTTAAAAAGAAACTACCAGATGGACATCCAACAGATACGCCACTGAAAATAACTATATCGGATGTCTTGATTCCATGGAATCAAATTCGATTGAGTTCACTTGAAGTATTTTTTTTGTTATTTTCGGCTGGATTTTGGTTTTGCAAATTAGGTGTTGCTGTGCATACAATATTGAGTAACTATGCTATCCGATCATTCTTTATTGAAGCTCTTCAAATTCATGATCCATTGTTATATTCATGGCAAGAGGTACAACTAAGACTCATCAATGCACAATCTCAATGTCTGCTAAGAGAAACACATTTGGATGAGTTAGCCGTTCATAATCGTTTATTACGACGAGCCAACTATATGATTGCATTGATCAACAAAGGTGTACTTCCAATCTATTTTCGTGTACCATTACTTGGCGAATGTATTTATCTTACATCCGGATTAGAATTTAATTTTCGAATTCTTTTGTTTCGTGGCGTGTTTTCATTGTTTGATAAAAACTGGAAACTTCGTGATGAAATCAAATCACCATCGGAACGTTTAGAATGTGCTCGTCGTTTTTCCAATCGATGTTTGGCGGTTGGCCTGCTCAATCTACTTCTATTGCCAATGATATTCTTATGGCAATCATTATATGCGTTCTACACTTATGTTGAAGCGGCCAAACGAGAGCCAACATTGTTTGCATTGCGTACCTGGTCACGTTATGGTAGATGGTTTTGTCGTCATTTCAACGAATTGGATCATGAACTTGATGAACGATTGAATCGTGCATATCGTCCAGCTGCCCGCTATATGAATTCATTTCGTGCTCCATTGTTGGAAATATTAGCACGTTTTGTACAGACGATTGCTGCTATTTTATTATCAGTGTTGATTGCATTAACAGTTTATGACGAAGATGTCATCACTGTTGAACATGTTTTACTTTTATTCACTGGCTTGGGAGCTGCAATTGCTATATCCAAAGCTTTTTTACCCGATCCTGAACCGAATCGATGGACGTTTGGAGAATTGGATGCAGCTATACTACAACACATTCACTATCGTCCACATAATCATCCTCCGCACACCATTCAAGCCCGAAACGCTATGGGCAATATATTTGTCTACAAAAGTACGACTATATTGGAAGAATTGCTAAGCCCTTTGATCGTTCCTTACATCCTGATACGCCATCTACGATCACGATCATTGGAGATAATTGATTTTTTTCGTGTCTACACATTAGAATTAGCCGATATTGGTGATGTTTGTACGTTTTCCCAATTTAATTTTCATCAAAACGGTCATCGCATCTTTACAAATCCAGAACAACAAAAAAACGAACACAATCAATCTGTCGATCAATCGATGAATACATCGAGAAAAAATAATGCTGAAGTTTTACCCGATGATCGTAATACCACTCGTAATGGTAAACTAGAATTGAGTCTGATTAATTTTAAATTAAAAAATCCCAAGTGGCAACCACCAGATCTATCACAAATGCAATTTATTGATCTTTTCACACGTCAATCTTGTGATGATCCGGGTGTTCCAAATTTAATTATTCCTGATGGACGATTGCAGCCAACTATTGCTGAATCCAAATCAACAATTGATTTATGTTCGCCAACAACATCAACCTACCCGGCTTTTATTGAAACACAACCAGGATCTTCGTCGTCTATTAGACCTGATAATAATAAAAATCAACAAAGACAGTCTCAAATGATGACCAAGACTAGTCAAATTGGCGATTCATCGACCGGCATGCTTGAATCATCTGATTTTGGCTTCAGTAAAACACGGCGTCGTCTATTACAGCTCCGTTATGGTAATACGTTTAGCGAACAGGAGAAACGCGATAATCAAATGGCATTAAGTTCGTTGTATTTTCATCAAATGGTCTCCGAATCACAATCTTCACGACAGCAATCGCAGAACTTTTCATCACCACAGCATCAGCAATTATCTCAATCGACATCGTTTAGCGGCCAACTTACACAAGGATCACGAAATAATGAATCGATGCCATTATTACGCTCCGATTATGATGTAAGACCTGCTGGTGGAGAATATCGTAATAATTTTCTCGAATATGATGATGACGACGATAATGGTCCTTATAATTAGAAAAACAAAAAATTATAGATTAATACTCTTATTAAAGAGATTTTGTGTAACATACTTGTTAAACTAAAGAATATTTGCCATTTATTAGTGTTTGTGAAAAACATTTATCTAATCATGGTTACGTTTGGTAGTCCTCAAGTTGACTGTCTTTAGTGGTAATTCTCGTGAAGTGTTTGTAAATAGGAAAGATTTCTTTGATCTACCTCCATTTATTTTATCTGGATCAAATTCGACACGATTGGAATTGGATTGGGTTTGAATCTCTGAAAGATTCTCGGCTGTTTTCGAACGTCTCATAGCTTGAGTTGGACATTTATTCATTTTGCTAGTTTCCGATTCATATTTGGCTATTCCATTGCAACCGTTTTTGTTATGATTAACTTTGAAATTACTTTCATCATTATCAACTAATTGCAATTCTTTGAGATGATAATTATTGTCATGCGTTTTTTTCTGTAGCTTTAATTGATCCAATTCTTTATTCATATTCGCTATTATCTTTTTGCTACTTGTTAATTGTAGCTCCAATTGAGAACAATGACATTTTTGTCGTTCATAATCCGATTTCAACCGGTCTATCTCTTTTTCTTTTGATTTCAACTGTTGCAGGCAAAGCTTCAAATCTAAACTCAATCTCTCGATTGTAGATTCTTTTATACTGACAATTTCTTCTTGTTTTTCTGTGACTTCATTCAGTGTGTTGATTTTTTCCTGACAAGATTTGACTTCATTTTGCAATTTACGAATTATTTCATTTGCTTTTATCAAATCTTTTCGAATCGATCCAATTTCTGTTTCGTTTTTGACCATTATTTGATTTGTTTGCTCTTTTTCTATTTTTAAAATACCTACTTCGGCATTTAATTGTTGATTTCTTTCATCCAATTCTTTTAATTTATTGTGACGTTTGACAACTTCCTCATTCAATTTTTCTTTCCATTCATGATATTGTCTTTCATGCTCTTTTCGTTCGATTTCGATTGTTTCTTCTCGATTCTTTAAATCAGTTTGTAGTTTTTGACATTTTGATTTCAAAACTCTTTCCACGTCATTCCATTTGGTTTGTTCTTGTGAAAATTTTTGCTCCACATCTTTTAGTTTTTCTTGGATGGATTTTTTTTCCATATCAAATTCTAACTTTAAACTTCGTACCTCGTTAGATTTTACGATGGTCATTGTGCTCAATTGATCTTCCAACGAAGAAATTCGCATTTGTAAAGTTTCAATTTCAGATTTTGATTTTCGATAGATAGTACAAAAATTACTTCGAACAAATTCTTCACTTGCGGATGGAATTTCAAATGATAAATGGACTATATTTTTGAATTCATTCAGCTCAACAATATCCAATGTGAGCATTGTTCGGGACAAATTTCTTATGCATAGGATATAGCTGTTAAATATGATTTTCATAAAAAGTTAGACTGATATCTCATCAAAAAACAAATAGTACTCAACCTTGATCCATTATCGGAATGAAGAATGCCAGATGTACGAGTACTAGTGGCCGAACTAGGAGTAGATATGGAACATTTTTCAAACATATTAATCAATTTATCTGAAAATTTCTCAAACGACACCAATAAGTTCTGCGTTTGTTTGATACTATGGTTGAAAAAAGAAAATAGATAATCATTCTATATGAGATTTTCAATAAACTTTTACCTTTTATATTCATTAAAATCGATTGGATAAAGATAGATGAAAAATGGATCATTTGGATCCAAAATACGAACGGATATTTCTTCGCGTATTTCATTGAATCGGCTGTCCACTTCGAGCAACAGTTGTATTGTTTTACTATAAGCCAAGAATCAGATGATGAAAAAAAAATCATGAAACAACAAATGATCATACTTAATGGAGAAATTTGTTGATTCCTGAAGATGAAAAGTTACTAAACGAGAGAATGCAATATTAGGAGCATTAGGATTGGCTTGAACTGTATTTGAACACGATGTTAATGCATGTAAATGAGTGGGTATTGATGAATAAGATAATCCGCTACTGCCGCCGGATGTTCGAGATCGGAAATCATCACCATTTAAATGTTGATGATTCGAAGACATTTTTATCTCGCGAAAAAACCATGTACACACAATTTAGACAGTCAAGAAAGTAAGGGCAATAATTTCACCATTACCAACGGTAACCAAGGTAAAAAAAATGAAACGAAAAAACAAGAATAAACCTGTGATCTAAATAAACACTTCATTCGTTCAACCTGATTGTCATGGTCACGAAAAATTAAATGATCCAACAATTCAACGAATAAATGTATTCGATCCACGCATGCGAGCAACGATATGTTTGCCGCGCCAAAAGCGATTCTGCATGCAAATCCAAGTATCCTATTCATAAACGACAGGTCATCAGACCAATATTGAATTTAAATTCAATCGATTCCTATCAAGAATTTTTAATAATTATCGATTTTTCGATAATAAAAATTCAGCCATTTTTTTAAAGAATAAACTATGTTATAGATTGAATGAATAGCAAACAAGTCCTGATAATACTTTAATCAAAAATCTATTTTTCCGGTTCGATGATGTATGATAAGTCCAGAGATTACACATCAACATTTAAGATTATTCAAGAATAAACTGACCTTCCTTTGATAAATTGACCAATGGCAATAAAAGACATTTTAGTTTTTGTACAAGACAAAACAAAACAAAAAACGGCATTTCAATTATCGCAATTCAAGTTTTATATTTAAAAATTCATTTGGCCTCAAGGAAATAGTCGTCATAAGTTTTTTTTTTGTTATTATTGAAATAGAATGGCTTGTAAGTTGAGAAAAAACATTGAAATTTATTCTTAATGTATGCATACATAGCTTGTCAAATACAGATAAAGCATATTTTAAGAAAATATACTTTTTTCCGGTCAAGACCAATTATTCTATTATCATGAGCAACAGTAATTGAAGAACTTTTAGAATAGAATTATCTACTAACACATTTTTTTTTGGATATACACACTTGGTTAAATTTTACACAACCGCCGACACCTTAATAAAACTTTTTAATCAAAATTTAAAAAAATTGTTTACCAAATGCGTTAACTTTAAAAAAATAAATGAAATTTTAAATTCATAAGCAATTTGTGTTGGTCCAAATGTCAGACTAACTTTTGGTCAGTCGTCATCAATTTTTCTATTATCATGCATTAAATAAGTATGTTTCCAATGTTTCCAAGATTTTTGTGCGCATTTTTCTTGTTGATGAACAAAACAAAAAAAACAACTTTGCTTTTAATGATGATAATCGTGGTGGTGATCTTATGATGAGAATCATCTCTTTAAAAAAAATTCGGTTTTCTCAGGTATTTATTTGATGAATTTGCCTGAGAATCTTTTCATTTTAAAAATTTGAACAAAATATCATTCAATGTATTTTCACAAAGCTTTGTTTAAAATTTTTAAATCTAAAATTTTATGAAAATAAAAATAAAATCTAAAATCATTTTGTCTATTGTAAATTTAATGTTTGCAAACTGTATATCTACTATTCAACAATGAATCGTTTAATATTGACATCTACGTTTACTATGATCGTATTTGAATTGATCATGGCCATGGGCGATAATAAATATCAATTAGGTGGTCCAATTTTTGTAGAAGGTTCTATGAATGATGTAAATCAACGATGGAAATGTGCTGATGTTATTTCTAATCGTAGGCTATTTTTGTTATTTAATTTTTTTCATGATTTTAATAAATTGTTTTCATTTTATTCGGAATTAAATTTGATTTAGCTAATGCTGTTCGTGGAGAATTGGCCATTCGTAAAATGAAAGGTGATCAAAAAATACGTCGATTCATTGAAAATTGTATCAAATGGGGTGATGGTTGGCGATTCAAAAAGGATGGCTCCACCGCATACACACATTTCGATTCAAATTCAATACTGGATCAAGATGACGATGTTATTGGATCCGATATACCGATGATGATCAATGATTCTAAAGAAACATCTATATCAACGACAAAAATCAAACAACCATCTAGTGCTGATCGAATATTACTTTTACGATTATACAAAAATTTGTTGAAACCAAATTTCAATGATCGATTAGCTTTGACGGTGGATAAAATTGACAACAAAAATAATCGATAAAAATTTAACCTTTTTGTTCTTAAATCTCATAGAATTTTAATGAAAAAAAAATCTTATCTGGTTCTATTTATCAAAGATCTTATAAGATTTTCTTTGTTATAAACATAGCAATAGTAATGATTGCTAACATTATTGATTTGTCAAAATTTTTCATTACAAAAAAAAAATCATAAATTTCATAATCATTTTTGATGAACAAAAAATTTAACAAAGTTTTTAATTAATTTTTTTCAATTAATTACTAACATGCATCATAAATTTTTCTCATTCTCTTTATTCAGCAAGCCATCTGATTCGATTATTTAATTTTGAAAAAAAAAGAAGTTAAATTAAAAATGATTTGTTTAAACACCTTTACCGAAAAAAAATTGAACTTGAGTCGATCAATGCATGATATGCAGATTCTCATTAACCAAAGAGGGCAAATATTTACATAATTAATAATACTTTTGAAATTTGATAGAAACCCAGATAATATAAATTACCATCTAAAAAATAGATGCTATGATAAATCACAATTTCATTGAATAACGCTCATCGATTCAAAACAATCCAAAAATGAAATCCATCACCATCATTGGAATCATTTTGTTCATATTTGCTGTAACAATTGTTTATTGTGGTCCAGCAATGCGTGAGAATCCCGAATTCAAACGTTTATCACAAGAAATTCAAGAAAAAGTTTGTTCCGGTAAAACAACTGAAGAACAATTGAATGAATTGAAAAAATGTATGGATGATGTTAAAGACGATATTGGTGAGGTATGTATTGAATTCATAACCTTTTAATGATTAGATCAATCTAATTTTCTTTTTTTTTTTTGTAAAATTTTTTGTTTCAAGCGTGAATCTATGGAACAATATGTTCAAGAATGTTTCAAAGAAGTTTATGTTGACGTTGGATTCACTGTTGATGAAATGTTTAAAGAAAATGTTTATATGATTTGTAGCGGTAAATTTCGAATGTGTGTACATCATAAATCAAAAAATCAACAGCATAACAATATGGATAAAAATGGTGATGACAAAAAAGAATCAAGAGGTCCAATGAGACAACCACATATGGATTCTGAATTTCATCAAAAATTTCAAAACATGATGGAATGTAAACGAAAAGCATTAGAATTATAAAACACAAACGAATTTAAGAAAAAAAATGATTTTAAACTTTAAAATAAATTTATTATTATTATTATTTTTATTAATTTTATTCGAATATTAAGATTAAATTAAATAATTAAAAAAAAACATAAATTGTCGGTTAAATGTAATTGTAATATGTAGAATAGACAAATTTTTCGAATCAGACCAAAAACACTGAACAAAAAAAATAATGCTGATCAATTGAAGCGGTCATATCAGATAGAAAATGGTATGAAACGAAGAAAAATATATTAATCAAATGTAAATTACCGATAATGAATATGTTTTATTTTTCTTCATTATCCATTGTGATTATGCTTTTATATGAAAATGGTGTGTTTTGTGTGTGTGTGTTTAAAATATATGCAAGCTTAAAGCAATTGACAAAGAAAAAAAAATCGGACAATTTTACACATTTTATTTTTCCTTATTCAATCTGATTCAGTTTCTTCTTCGGATGAATCATCCGTTTCATCATCACTTTCAACTTCAAGTTTATTTGGCTGTGAATTTTGAACCGGTTTCAATGTTAATGTCGCTGTCGATGTGATTTTTGGTTGAGCCAAATCATTAACGGGTTTTGATGGTGTAATTGGCTTGAATACGGTATGTTCCATATCGTCATCTGAATCTGAATCTGAATCCGAATCCTCTTCCGATGATGATTCTTCTGATTCTTCTGATGATGATTCATCGTCATTATTATCATCATTATCACCAGAGCCATTTTCATCTTTATTTTTTTCGACAATTTCTTTCACTTCTTTTTCATCAAGACCAATATCCTCCCAATCAATATTCTCTAATCCATCTTCTTCCAATTGACCCAAAAGATATTCAATTTCAACATCTTCATCAACTGTTTCCATACTTTTGCCAAAATCGCCACGTGATTTTGTTTTAATTAATTTAAGAATTTCAGCTGTTGATGATCGATTCAGACCTTTAGATTTTCTTCTTGCTTCAATAGAACGATTTACTGATCGTTCTTTTGTTTCTCTCAATGGCGTTTTTTTGAAACCGGTACGAACTTGTTGATCTTCTGACGCCGATAATGATGTCGACGAAGTCGGCTGTGTTTGTTTTGTTGATTTTGCCATTGTATTATTTGTTCTTTCATCAATAATAGGTTCATTTATTTTATCCACCTTGTTCGAATCTTTCATTCTATTTGCGATTGGAGAAGTTTTAATTATTTCTGGTTCTTTGTTTTTAAATTTATTTTGTACGATTGGTTGGCTAACATTGCCATTGTTATTACTGGAAGTTTTTGTTGTTGTTGTTGTTGATACCACGGGCAGCTGTGTCAATGAGAAGGATGAGAATCAGAGAGATGAATTTTATGAAAAATATAATAAAATTCAAAATACTATTAAGATTTACAGGAATTTGTCGGTTAAAGTACAATTTTTTTTGAATTAAACAAAAATTTAAGCATATAAAATTTGGTATAATAAATGCATTGCAATAATAAAAGCAAAAAAGAAAAAATTTTGGCAGAATTTGTATTCGAATGGTGTCAATAATCAGTGGCAAAGCAAATATTTTCATGTGATTCTGGCGAGCGTTGTATAACGACTAATTTTTTTGGTTGCATTTGTTGATTATTTGAATTATAAAGATTTGTATTTGAATAATAATTCATTGGTTGGTTGGTCGACTTATCAGACACTAATCTCCAAGGTGATGATGAAACATTCATCGAATCATTATTTTCTGTGATTTTCGGTAAAGATGATCGCATAAGAATATTTGGCGATATTGGACGACCATTACCAATCGCTGTTTGTGATCGCTCGTTATAGTTGAACATACGACCAGGAGGTGGTGTGATTGCTTGTCGTCCAAATGATGGTTCAATTTGTTGAAGAAACATTGAATGAGCTAATCGATCGCGTTGATTCGAATCAAATGGAACATTTGTCGCTGATCGTTGGTCAACAGGCTGGCATCCATTCATTATTTTTTGAGTAGTTGGGATAGGTGTATGAATAGGTTGTTGTTGAGGTAATGTTGAACTTTTATTACGATTAGCCCAGATTCGATCGTTGGTTGTATGTCGTCGAATTAAAGGTGCAAAATTCATAGGAGCTTCTAATTGTTGTTGAATAAAATCTCGAGCTTGTTGTTGTTGTTCTGACAAAGTTTTTGTTGTTGAACTGTGAATCTGGGGTTGTTGAACATAAGAGTGATTTTCGGGTTGTTTTTGTGGGGAGGATGCAATCCAAGATATAAACTTCCGATTTTGAGGTTGAAATTCCGGTTTCGATTGTGGTGGTAACAAAGACGAAGATGATGATCGCTTAGGATAAAAGCCTGGTTGTTGAACAAAATTATTTTGTGATGAATATGAATTATGATCCAGATGTCCTGCTGATAATGATGTCGAACGATCAAAGTACGGTTGTTGCAAATGATTTCCATGTTGATGAGTATAATTCACAGGCAAATGATCGACATGCATGTTCGTTTTGTTTGTCGAGTTGATTGGTGATGGTGAACGGCTAAAATTAATACGATCAATCATCATCGATAGTGGCTTATGAAGAAATCGATCAACATTATGTTCATTATTATTATTATGTGCAATAGAATCATCAGAAACCATAATCGGTGGTGGTGGTGGTGAAATCGGCACAAACTGAAGATACACAATATGTAATACACACACATGGATACAAGATTATTGTTATGGTTTTTTAAATAAAGCATTTTGTGTTTTAATGTTGAATTAAATTCGTTGATATTAAGAAGATATCGCATAGGGAAATAAGAATGGAATGGATGCAAAGGAATAATGATTGAACTTAAATTACACTTACATCGTTCGTTAAGTTATTCTGTCCAACAGCACCATTTCCACTGAGACTAGTTCGTCGTGGTGGAACACGACCGAAAACTTTTTTACCGGATCCTGCAATTCCAGCCGGCTGCGGTGATGGACTATGAGAGTCACGAGGCGTTGGAACTAAAGCTGGTGAACGACATCTAGTTGGCGTTGACGATGGTGTCGTTTCAATTAGATTATCAACTTGATCACGTAAACCCCAGGTTGGTTTGCGGGAAGCAACAGGTTGCTGTTGTTGTGGCTGCTGTTGTTCGGATGCGATTGGTTGCGTAGATGTGCGACGACCATAATACATTTGTCGACGTTGAGTTCCCGGTGAAGAAAATGGAGTGGATGAGTTTGAATCGGTTGCGGAAGATTCGATTGTTGAAGACAAATCACGTGTAGATCGTCGTGGTTGACCGGATTCATTATTATTGATTATATTATTATTGACATCTTTCTTTTTAATAGTTATCTTTTTCTTTGGTTCGGGAGAAGCAATATCAGCTTTCGAATTAGTAACTGTTGATGATACAGGTGTAGATGATGGACATTTTTCCCACGTTCCTAATTTGTTTGATCGAACAGGACCTTTATTGGGAGCCTTAACTGCTATATCTGGTTGTTGTGGCTGAGATTGAGTAACGGGTGGAGAAGGTTTAGCTATGGGCTGTATAGCTTGCGGTTGTGCTGCCTTTACTTTGACTGGTTTTTTATTCTGTACATTATTAATTTCGGGCTGCTTATTATGAGCCGATTCCCATAATTTTTTCTGCGCTGCTACTTTGATTGGTGTCTCATCGACCATATCGGATTTAGCTGTCCGTTTTGGTGAATCTGCTAATTCCTTTTTGTTTATGGCTAAATCGGCTTTAGGTTTCACAATATTTGTCTTATTTTCATTTGTCAACACTTTATTGTTGATTGCTTTTTTGTTCGTTGTTGTTTGACCTTTATTCAGTAATGAATTTGGTGGTGGTGGAGGTGGAGGAACAATTTGGTTGCCAAGCTCAGGTAAGGGCGGTGGCGGTGGTGGTGGAGGAAGAGGCGTATCAGTTGCATTCGTTTTTTTATTATTCTTGACTATTGGCTGTTGCTGTTTTTGTGGTTGTGTCGCTGGAGTTTTCTTTTTCAAAGGCAATTTTATTGGTTTCATAGTTTCAAGTCGTTGTGCGTAAACTGATTCAAGTTGTGCACCAAATTGTGCTAGTTTATTTTTTACGGAAGATGTTCCTGTTCAAAATCGAGAGATTAAAATTAGTTTTTGAATGCTTATTAAAATTAAAAATCAGCAGTATAGTTATAGGCAGAAGAACAACTTACATGCGATTACAATTGCTGTTATATTAACAAAATCAAATAAAAGCATCGAAGCAATTCATAAATTATTATACAAACCCGAAATGGCTGCTTTTTCAGCTTCAATTTCGGCACGTTTTCTTGCCATAAATTTATCTTCCGATGAATCGGGTGCGGCCATTTGTCCGAATAATTTATCTTCATATTGTTCTAATTGTTTAGCAAAACCATCGTTTGGTTTGGCAAAAGCTCTTGCTTCACGAACCTATGTTTGTTTAAATAAAAAAAATCATTTACTAAAATAATTAAAAATTCGTCCTAAACTAAAATATACATACAGCAGCCAACGTTTCTTTGTATTTCATTTTATTCTGTTTCATTAGATAAGCACAACATATTGCCGTTGATCTGGAAACACCAGCATTACAATGTACAAGACAATTACCACGTTGTATGCCTTCTTGAATAAAATCAATACAATCATCAAAGTATTGAGTGATATCCGTTTCCGGTACATCTAATATTTCAATCTTTTTATAATTATAATCATCTTCGAATGCATTAGGAACTCCCGGTGCTAAATTAAGAATGTGTGTAATTTCATATGTATCCAATAAGGATTTATCTTGAGCAACATCTTGAGATGCTATAATTTATAAATTATAAATAAAATAAAAATTATGATAATTTGATGATTCTCTTCCCCCACAGAAAAAAATGATTCTAAATTTTCTTATCATTTTTAAACACTGAAAACAAGATGAATCTTTAGTTGTTGTTTTTTTTCAATATTTCAAATTTACAATTCCATTTTTATACATTGACGTCATTCATGCCGCAATGATGATGATGATAAAAACAAAAAAAAACTCAAGCGCAATTCTAAAACTTAAGAAACTAAATGAAAGAATGAAGATTGATTTATGAAATGTGATTGTTTAGCTTGTTTGTTCAATTCTTTAACCCGAAAATAAAAATATATAGCAACAATCATCAATATGATGATGATGATGATGATAGTTCTATTTCTAGCATCAAGCAAAAAAAAAATCTTATTTGTACCTCATAGAAAAACATTAATAAACGAATAAAAAAGAACTAAATGAATATTCTACACTTATCAATAAATATGAATTGATAATGATAATTTCTTGATAATCTTTTGTATTTTAAGAATAATAAATTTCAATACTTACAAATGAATAATCCAGGTATGATCATACCGACCTGAAGATCGGGTTTAGTATCGACAACATAACCAACCGAATTGATACCTTCAGATTTTATTTGTTGTAAACCTTTTGGTGAACGTTTTTCAGTTAATTGTTCACCACTACCGGTTGTTACTTTTGTTTCAACTTTTTTTAGTTTACGTTGAGAAAAATTTTTTATTTCATTGAATAATTTATTTCGATCTTCTTCAGCCATCGTTAATGATTTTCACTTTTTTTTTGTTTTGTTTAACAACTTAAACAGAAAATCCAATTCATTGTCAACTAAATGATGATGATTAAAGATAGAAAAAATCAATTTTAAAAAAAACTTGTAACCGAATGAGAATTTTTGAAAAACTAAATTTAAATAAAATTAGACGATAAATGTGAGCACACTGATTGATAGGTGAAAAAAAAACAAAACAAAATTGAATATCACAAAATAAGTAGAATTGATAAAAATCAAATTGTTCTGCATACGGAAAATCAACAATAACGAAAACTTCGAATTATATCGAAAATTGTCCAGAATAATTACAAAAATTCACATATATTTAACAGATTAAAACTTTTAATAGTGATGCTATAGCTAAATGACTTTCACTATGAAAGAAAAAGAATATTTTTCTACAAAAAAAAACGACGACGACGACGACGAAAAATGTTGATGTGCTCATTAACATAGAATAGTTATAGCCACAAATGCGCATTCATTGCGGCATTCATTCATTCATTCATTTTCGCTCTACCAATTTTCTTCTCTAAAGAATTGAATAGCGGAAACGTAAAGCAACAAATGATTGTTGTTTACATGTAGAATCAAACATTCTTAGCATTTATAAATACCACTACTTGATGTTTTTTTTTGTAAATTGTTGTATTTCTCATTAATAATATGTAAACACCCTTCCCGAATCGTGTTGAAAAAAAAACATTTAAGAATCTAAGCCAAATCGTATTGAAACATATAGTATAAGCATATATAAATGATTTTAAACAAGTTGGAACAGTAAAAATCAAAATCAAAAAAAAAACCAAACAAATGTTTGCAAAAATAACGACGTTTCGATCTGGGTCATCAATTTTTTTTCACGAATGGTTTGAATGTTTGGTTTAATTCATAATATCATATCATTGATATATATATAGTGAGAATGAATTTAAATCACAGCCATTATGGCGTTAATATAAACATACAATTGATTGAAAATTTAGAAAATCAAAGAATAAATGAATGACACACACACACACAATACAAATCGATGTGATCGAAATAAGGATTTTCAGAATATATGACGCCCTAGAAAAAAACAACAAATGAAGATAATCGACACGACGATGAAGACGACGTTTGATCTTTTTTTTGTTCAACAATAAGAATACGTCTTCGATTTCTAAAAACACAAACACCAACAGACGTACAACCCGTCACGATGAAATTCAAAGTTGCATCTGTCAAATAATCTTTGTATAGCATTGAATTTTGTTGCCAAATTTTCTATTTTTCTATTTATTTCATTCATTCATTTTTTGTTTGTCATTTGACAAAAAAGATGTATATACTAAGAATAAAAGAGAATCCATTTACACATAATTAGTAAAAGAAATAAAGAAATCATCGTTCATCACTGAAAAAAAAACAAATGAAAAGAAAAGAAATCATACAGAATGCAACCGATAGGATTGAGAATGAGAGTCTTCATCAGGAAAATTGACATGGTTTGACATTGACATGGTGTACATAAATACAATTTGCCGAAGAAAAAAAAATCAAAAATGGGTCAAGTGAATGAGGTCGCCCTGTAATTCCCGTTAATGTTGGAAAAATTTTTTTTGATTTAAATTCTAATATAACTATATCGACTATAGTAATGACTTCCGATTGATTTTAGAAATCAAAATAGTTCATTTTTAGGCTATGTTATGAACATTATGACATTTAGACATAAATAACTATTATTACAAAATTCAAATGAAACAATTTAAATGTAGGAAGAGAAAAAAAGGGAAAATAATTTTGAATTTCGTCATTCACATAAGATTCGATGGAAAAGTTCAACAGGTTTGATTGATTTTTTTTTTGGAGTAAACAATGATTAATTTTTTCCCTTTTTTCGCGAATCAAATTATAAGGGTTATTCTTTCAAAAAAAAGAAATCCGAAAATAATTCTCTTCACAAAAATATAAATATCAACAATGCGTCATTTTTTTACCAAAATACTATTCACTTTTATAGAATCACGATCATACTTATGCTACGAAGAACAGAAAAATTATCGGCATATAGTCAAGGACTTGAAATTCTTTACGATCGGCATCAGAAAAGAAGAAGAAGAAAAACATTGAGATTTGTTTTGATGATAAATTTTGAAAGGTACAAACAAACACATTTAATGTTTGGTTTGAATTTTATGATTATAGTGATGACAACAACAACAACAACAACAACAACATTATATAAAAATAATCATCAGTGTAAATGTATTTTTATTATTATTAATAATTCTGGTAGAAAATTTACATCAAATTTTTCTATTCAACAAGAATTAAACAATTACAGAATTTTTTTTGTTTACAAAAATGATTTTTAGATTCTTGTCAAAGAGATGGCGACACTTACTCAACAAAACAATTATTCAATGGAAATGAAATGATAATGATATTTTCATCATAAAGCGAAGGAAAAATTCTGTAATTAAAATCTAGGTCATTTAGATTTTGAAAAAAAAGTATGACCGGATGTTTTTTATTAATTATCATTTGCTTGTTGTTTTCATCAGAAAAAAATTAGGCATAAATTAATAACCACATTATGTTAGGAAATGCAATATAAATAAGTTCATTCGGGGGATGATATTTTAGTACCCCCTATTTACCTGTTACATTTTTACTACTTTTATTTATTAATTTGGTTTTGTTGTTAAAATTATAATTAAAAGTGAACAAAGTGAGTGCAAAATTATTATTATTTTTTCCTGAAACTATCTTGGGTATTGTTAATAGTGGACAATAATTATTACCATAATTCAGTGCAACAACAAAAAAAAACAATATTGCTCATGTTTGATGATTAATGCGAATGTAATCATAATTATTGGGCAAAAAAAAATGACAACCAAAAAGAAGAAATAAAGTGACAGATCCAAGATGAAATGAAAAATTGTTCCATATACATGGATGAGAAACATATCATACATCAAACAAATGCTTGGTTCAATTTGTAATCAACATTAATTTGAATCTAAGGTTGATGATTTTTTCGGCCAACTGATATTGCAAGTTGAATATTTTGACAAATGGTTATTTTAAAAAAAAATTATTGGATCTTCATTTCTTTGTTAATTGCTTTTATTTCAGAAAAAAAAAATTCTCTAGGTAAATTGGTTTGATTAATTCAACATATTCATGAACTTGTCCGTATTTGTCAATTGTTTCTACAAGGACAATCAAATTGATATATCTGAATTGGTCTTTTGAATAATTTAAAGGTAATTTCTAATTTTCTCTCTTAATTTGATTTGATTTACTTTTTGTTTTGTTTTATTGTTTTAGTTTGTTTTTTTGGTCATTTTTTTTTTGGATAAACAATTTTCCCATTCGTTTATTGTTCATTCTTCGAAATTTAAATCGACACATTTTCTTTTGACAACGGACACTAGATTTTTCATTTGTTTATTTAAAAAAAAATATATATCAGTATCTAAATACAGAACAGAATGGCAAACAAACAAAAAAGTCACTAATACTTCATGTGATTCGATTTAATTAGAGCCCATTATAATTAACGAAGCTTGACTATGACGATTCGAAGAAAATAGAAAAAATTTCCAATGGTTTTTTTTTTACTTTTCTAGGCGTTAAAAAACGATGCCGATCTTGTTTAGTTTTGTATTCATTTTTTCTTCTCATTTTTGGTTGATTGTCTCTTGCTGAATCATTCAGACAATTAGTTCCAATTTAGTTAAAAGTAACAATTTATAGAAAATGAATGATGAAATAGGTGGAAAATTTTTTTTTTTGCAAAGATTTCCTTTCTTTTGGGGTATACGTGCATTTATTTCTTGTTATTATTTTTTCAATATGAACAGGTGAAGTTTGCCCAAAAAAAACACACACACACAACCAAATTAGAAAAAAAAACAATTGAAGCTCATTATGGAAAAACAAAGAAAGAGAAAAGAACTTGGTTAATTTATTTTCATCAACTATCAAGTGAAAACAAACAAAGAGAGTGAATGGGTGAATGAGAAATAAAAAAGGCTTGGATCTCCTATATTACCTAAAAAAAACGATTATGGATGTTTAAAAGGAGAAAAAGAAAAAGAGAAAAAAAACGAAATGAAATCGAAATTTTCAACTATCCATTTTATCAGTCATTTGTTGGCGATCTTATACTATAGGTGACAATATAACGATTTTTCGTGTTTTTTTTTTTTTTTTTTTTTTGGTCTTGTTGTAACCCGTACAATTTTTTTTAAACATCATATACAATCCATCATATGGTCAGACCAAACAAAAATTTCCTCTATAAAAATGTGTATTTTTGTGTGTGTGTGTTTTCAAAAAAAAATTCAATAACAAACTGATTTTTCGTTATCATTTATATAAATAGTTATTTCTTTATGTAATCGATCCATCATTTTTTTTCTTTTATTGACACATTTCGTTCATTTTCTATGTTTCATAAATCCTAAATACAAAAATTTGATTGAAAAACGATTGATTACCCGATTGTTCAACATAATCATCATCATCATCATTTTGATTGAAAATAAACTCAAAGAAATATGTGTGTGTGTGAATTTCATCGTGACTATTAATTTTTCGGTTTGATGATATAAATTAACTTTCATCAAAAGAAGAAGAAAAAAAATGATCATTTATATAAATGAAAATTTTGATTGATCATCTATCATAATTTGAACGTTAAAAAAAATCGAAAGTCGTCTTGTATTACGAGATTTTCATGAAATCAAACAATATATAATGACGATTGATTATGCAATCAAGAATATAAATAGAACCGATACGCAAATGATTTTTTTTTTTGATGATGAATTCATGTGAAAGTGACAAAAAATCAACTCAGAATTATTCCAATCAATCATGATTGCGTTCATATTTGATATGAATTTTGAAAAGAAAACTATTAATTTTGATAATTATCAAAATTATTTAATTTATCAATCAATTTTAATAGTAGTAAATACCTTGAACTCAATGAAAATAATGAGGGAAAAAAATTTCCGACCAATTTTATTCATCAATACTGACTATTGAAGACATTTCTTATGTGTCGATTTCATCAATTTTTTTCAATGTCTGAAATATCTAATATCATTAAACTTTGAATCAGTGATGATAATAATGATTTATTCATTGTCAATTGTTCGCAATCATTGAACAATCAATTACTAATGAACTAACCATGTTGACCATATTGACATTTCATCAAATTGGCGCCTTAAGCGTCTTATTTTCTTTTTCAATGTTGATTGCATTCTGTCCATTGTTAATACTTCGTTGGTTTTATAAACGTAAAAAACGACGATTAAGACGATTAAACAATAATAACAATCAACAGAATGAAATGAAAAATTCATTCTCACCTTCATCACCATCATCATCATCATCTTCTATTAGTGATTTGGCAATTGCTCACACATTACATGTACCTGAGGTGATCGTCAATTCAATTCGTTCATTAAATGGTGGTCTATTATTAGCTACATTATTTCTAATTTTTATTCCTCAACTTCGAATAAATTTTGATACATTAATGAATAGCTATGTTTATAAATCACAACTTGGCTATGATCATCATTATCAACGTGATTCCGAATTCAATTCATTAATTCATATGCCTGAACCGGAGCCATTTATTCGAGATCAAAAAAATGATTCCCAAGTGGATGTAGTGTTCGATGATGATTTATCCATTAATACTAATAATACTGAAACTATGCATACAGAAAAGTTTACTAATGTAAATAGTGACAAAAGTTATTCTCATCTGAACAATATTCTTGTTTCAAAATTTTCTCCCATACCGATCGTCGAAGTAATACTTTGTTTAGCATTTTTTGCATTATATTTTATCGAAGAATTTACACAATTATGTTTTCGTTATCGTAAATATTTTTGGGCATTAAATTCTACTGTAGTTTTAAGTTCTTCGGATGGTCAATGTAATTACACATCGTTAGATTATCGTATCAATTGTACGAAACGTTTTCTCATTGATTGTAGTCGAAAAACATTTACTGCAAGCAATTATTCATCATCAGGTAGTTCATCATCAACTAATGATGGTGTTGGAGATGGTTGTGAACGTACATGTTCAACACCCTCTACAATGATGAGTAGTAATGATAATAATTCAGCCAATTATCATCAACATTATCATCATATGGATAAAATGATGATGATTCCTGGATTTACATCTACAATGACTAAAATTAATCCTCTAGTCCAAAATGAATCTTTTACAAATGAACAATCCGATGAACAAAATATAGATGACATAAATGTTCATCCAATCAAACAAGAGCCAACTAATCAAAATAATAGCCTTAAATTGAGCCTTAATAAACAAAACAATAATGATCTAGTTGTTGATAAAAATTTTGTCAACCATAATGAACCACAATCATTGTTATCTAATTCTTCGGCTCATTTACCTTCATATTATTGGCAACAACAACCAGAATACGATATGATTGCTAATCATTGCCCTCATCATCAGCCATCAACTATTGATGAAAATCTTCATCTAAATATTTTCAACGATAAATTCAAATATAATCATCATTCTCATCATCATCATCATCATAATCATAATCATCATTCACATCATAATCATAATCATCGATGCCAACATCATTTATTGCCATACGATTCTTCTGATGCAAATCAGATTCCAAAAGTTAATGATGTTGCTGAAGATAATGATGAAAACTATGAACAGATTTGTCGATTACATAAAATAGATCAATTCAAGAGTATGGATCTTAATGATCATGATGAGGAAAAATTTTCTCCAAAATTGAAACAAAAATCCGAATCAGTAACCAAAAGAAAGGATGAAAAATCATTGAATAATTGTTGTTGCTGTAGTTGTTGTTGTAATTGTTGTTCACAATTTTATGATCATTCAAATGTTATTCCAACAATGAACACTGAAACGAAATTTGATTCTAGTTCAACAGCATCAGGTTTAATAAATAATCAAACTTTGGAAAAAATCTTTTTGCCAAATACAACACAATCGACTAATATGCCAGCATTGTATATTGGTGAAGGGATTCTTATTGCCATTCAGCCTTCTGTTCCATTATTATGGTTAATGTTATTTGTCATTTTAATGCATAAAATGGCCAATGGATTAGCCATGGCAAATGAATTACATTATCGTACGACTGGCCGTCAACGAAATTTACCAAGCTCAACAATTCTTATGTTTACCTCATTACCTTCACTTGGTTGTTTATCTGTGATAGTTGCCAATATTTTGATTTATTGGAAAATCAATTTAGATTTTGCTACGGTATCGATTCGAATCAATCAACAACAACATCATCATCATCATTCTAATCATACAACAACAGCATTACCACTTGAATTTGTTATACTCAAAGTTATACTCGTTTCATTATCAGCTGCAACATTATTACATTTGATTATGTTGACAATACAGCAACGAAACTATAATTATTGGTCAACAACAATGAATACAAAAAATAATCGTTATTCTATGGGTCAATCATCATCAATGAAAATTGATAATAAAAAACAGAAAAAATTATCATCAAAAAATGAAGGAAAAGAACGAAAATTCAATCGAAAACAGCCAACAACCAAATTAAATTCATCATATTCATCGAATTCACATAATAATGGTCGAATATTTCAAAATTCAACACCAATCATAGGACCAACATCGATTTTAACAACTTTATCTAAAGAGCAGCAAAAATTTTTATCAATGACAATATCATCAACAGCATCTAGATCAGAATCAAAAGATGATACTAATAACAATAACAATGATATGCCAATAACTATCGATATTGATCAAAACATAACGAATAAATCCGATTATGAAAATGGAACCTATACGAACAATGATAATATTCCGATTATAACTATAAACAAAAATAATGTTTTACATTATTTCATTATGTATTCTGGTTTTATTATTATATTGATGGCCATTGCTTTTTTGAATTTTAAAAATTTTAAATTTTAATTTTTTTGTTTGAAGTTATTATTATTGTTGTTATTATAAAAAAACAAAGTGTGATAAAAAAAAACAAAATAAAATTTTAATGAAAAAAATCAACTTTTATTTTTAATATTTTTTTTAATGTCTGTATCGTTTTTTATGTTTAGAAATAATTTCATTTTGTTCATTTGAATTTTGTTTATGATGAAGCCATGAAATTGGAATTAAAAACAATACCGAACCAATCGATATAATACTAGTGATCAATATGGATGTTGAATAAATGTCATTATTTTTATCATTATTATTATCATCATCATAATTAACAGTAAGATCTGATTGAATCAAAGAAAATAAAATTGTTAAACAAAATGTTAAATTAATTAATTAATGATTTAAATGAACTTACTAATGATTGGTGGTCCAATTAATGCTGCAAAACCATCAAAAAATGAAATAATACCTAAAGCATTTGCCATTTTATTCGTACCCAACATATCGACCAAAACAACTTGTGTTAAACATATATTGGCACCTGTAATTTCAAGGGGAAAAAACAATGAACAATGAAAACAAAACAACAACCAAAATATTATTAACGGTCCAGATATTTTCAAAACGATTGACGAAAAACCCGGAATTTGATACAATGAAAAATAAAAACAAAATTATCATTATCAATTTCAAATATCGATTTCATTTCATTTTTTGTTTGTTTGTATATTTCACATGCTCATATTTTGTTTAACGGTGCGGATATTTTGCCCACAAGACAAATAACAACAAAATACATATTTTTGCACACCGATCCGGATATTTTATTATTTTTATTATTATTTTGTACTAATTTTCAATGAAAACAATTTTTCCACATTCAATTCATTGTTTATCGTTTTATATGAATTTTTTTTAAAAAATGATAATTATATGGCAGAAAACTCGAATTTGGTTCTATGTTACTGTGTAATATACAGTTATAGTTAAATTCTTTTTCGTTTTTTTACATCATTTTGTAAACGTAAAAAAATGAATGACATTTTTTTTCACTAGCGGTCAGATATATAATCTCGAAATGATTTCAATATTAAAAAAATTGCTATTATTATTTTCATCCATAATACAAACCGAAAATAAATTAGATTTTTTCATTTTATTACAATTGATGATGATGATGATATATCCAGAAAAATTATTATCCATTAAAATCCTTAGTTATACGATAATGTTTTTTTTTCTTTTGAAAAAATGATGATGATGACAAACATATGTATCAAGAAAGTATGAAAAAAAAGTTTAACAGGCCATCATCATCATCATCATCAGGCCATAATGAAAGGTTGTCAGGATTATCATTTTGGTAGAAGAACGAAAAAACAATTTACATTGAGCAAATATGGAAAGTTTTTTACAAATCATAGCTTTTTTCGAAAAAAAGATGATTCATTTATATATCTATAGAAAATAATTCAAACTGTCTTAGTTTAGGTATAATGTGACTACTGCAAATAATTCAAATTATTAATTGAATCTTGAAAAAAAATCACAATTGAAAAAAAAACAAAAGCAAAATAAACAAAATAACTTCCGTAAACTACAATATAACAACATTAATAGTTTGGATTCAAATAGAGGCCCTTTTCACATTTGAAAAGTAAAATTACTTTTTTTTATAAATTTGTAAATATATTGGGAAAACAAAAAAATTCTGCCTTTGTTTTTTGTTTGGAGTTTCGATTGAAAGAAATTCGGTATCGATCCATCAAACAATAATAATAATAATAATGATAATGTTTGAGAGAAAAATAATAATAATTTGACTTATTAAAACAGACAAACAAAATAAAATGAAAACAAAACAGAAATAATAGTCTAATATATTATATTGATGAAAGATGATGAACAGTAAAGAAAAACAACTAAACGTCTATCAACACTTTGAACGCTAATCTATTTTTTTGTTTTTGTTACATAACCATTTTCCCAATGAATGAACTGTCATTTATATAAGTGATGTGTATAGTTATGGCATTTTAAGGGTTAAACAACATAATTATACCACATTGCCTCCATCATTATCAAATTGTTATCGAGTTTTTTTTGTCAGTTGAATTATTATTATGTATATAAAGACAGACGATCATAGAAAATACTAAGATAATTTTTTGTTCGTCGATGTAGAGAAATGAAAATAATAATAATAATAATGATGATTATTTAAGTAAAACAAAACAAAACTAAATTTAGATTTTTTTTTCTAATGACAACTAAACGTCATTCATAATTGTCATTATTTTATCTTCTTCTATTTTTTTTAATTTTTTGCTATAGATCAATCGATAGATTGTTGCAAAGCTTAAGGCAGAAAAAAATAAAATCACTTGATAACGACGACGGAACATAAAGATATGGAAAGAGAGAGAGAGAAAAAAAGGAAGTCTAATTGAGTGAAAAACAACAAATTTATCTATCGATAATTGACAAGATACATTTAAGATTGTCATTCTAATTTTCAATATTACAATCTGGAAAAAAAGGCCCATTATTTAAGGGGATTTAATAAATAAAAAACAAACAAAAAAAAATCGAATCAATTCGAATGATAAATTTTGAAAGCAATTTTATGATGCAAGATTATGATGATGAAAAAATTAAACGTGTAATCATCATCATCAATAATACAGGAAGATTCAAACAAATTAAATTCCTGTATTCATTTTATTGTCAATTCAACTGAGCTCATATGATTAAGATGATAATCAAATTCTGTTATCATTAAGTATTAGTAAAAGATGGATGAATTATTATTTGTTGTTTTTCTGTTCACGAATTTTCTTTACATTTTTTTTTTGGGGAGATTGACGACATTCCGGTCGAATGACACTGACAATATGCGAGGAAAATAATTCATTTTATTCATTCTTTTTCATTCTCAGTCTAACAAGGTAACAAAAATAAATACTTACCGAAAAATATTCCAAACAATGCATAGAACAATTGTATAGTAGCAAATGAATGAGCCAAATTAGTAAGCCAAATGGTAGCACCAAGTGCAATGGTAACAATAATCAATAGCCAAAGATTATCAATATCAAAATTGGTTGATATGTAACCAAACAATATTCGTCCAAAACCATTGGCAATACCGAAACAAAAATAAATGGATGAACTGGACAAACCAAATCCAGAGCGTTTTATACGATCAGTGATGATAATGATTGGTGTAAAAAAAACTAAACTTAAAAAGAATTGATTCAATACAAACAATAAGAATGATTTTCTTTTCCATAATAGACTGAAATCGGTCGTTTCTTTTATCACTTGACAAAACAAAGATTTAGAATTCATATCATGTTTAGATGTTGGTAATGGACAATTGGGTTCAACATAAAGAGCAGAAAAAATCAAACATGTAGACAAAAGTCCAGCTAATATGATCATGGCACCTTTCCAAGTATACATTTGAATCAAATAATTGGTTATAAAGGCAAAAATAGCCATTCCAAAACCGGATCCACATTCAGCAATTCCAAGTGCTAATGCAAGTTTTTGATCAAACCAATTAGTTACGATGATAAGTTTAGTAATGGACAATAGCCCCAAGCCGCAACCGGCTAATAAACCAATGGTAATGAAATGAAAATAGATTGATTGATCGAATATAGTGGATAATAACATTCCAGTAATGGTCAATATGGATCCAATTATTGATACTGTTCGGCAACCATATACTTTAATTAAACCACTAGCAAATGGACCTAGCAAATGACAAGACAAATAAGTTATAATGGATTAATAAAGAAGATATTTGTTAAAAATTGCAACTAAGAAAAAAGTCATGGTCAGCATTTTAATGAACGTTTCATTAAAAAAAACACAATCCCTATCAAATGAAATTAAAAAAAAAACGCAAAAATAAACCTAATAATGAATTCTGGAGGTCATTATAATATTTCAGAAACAAAATATTGTCCATGACATGCAAATGGGAATATTTAATTCTGATTATTTAACAAAAAAAACTGACAGTACGAATGAAAAATAATTGCTTCACCATATATGATAAAAAAAATTTTTCTGAAACAAGATATGATGATGTATAGAATGAATATTGTAATAGCATACAGACGTAGAAATAAATCTTTGAATTTTTTAGCATTCGTACAAATTCTCTAAATTCATTCTCGGTTCTAGGTGTATAAATGGAACGAAAATCATTTTTCATTTGAATTTCTTTCATCATCATCATCAACAACAACAACAACAACAACATTATTATTGCAAAGAAACACGAAACCTACCGAATGCAAATGTCAAAATGTTTTTCTTTTGCACAATGTTTATAATAATAATAAAAAATAGTAAATGAAATGTTTGGTACTTTTTTTTCCTGTCTTCGACTAAAGTGATGAATTTGTATTTCATTAGCTATCATCACGAAGAAAACAAATTCAACAACTAAGTAAACAATTGTGATCAACATCATAAAAACATTTGAACATGAAAATAAAAATTTTGTACTGAAAAATAAAAATGTGAATTAATGATACTTACAGATACCGTAAATAGTTCCATTCATAATGGATATATAGATTGATGTTATTGTTTCTGTTTGGCCATAAATGATTAGAAATTGTTCATAAAATAGACCACATGTATATGCATAACCATCTTCAAGTACAGATATCAATAATGATGATATAACAACTATCCAACCGAATTTGCTATCAAATTTTTGTCTATCAATATTCACATATGAATCTGATAATAATTTAGAATGAATTAAGTGAACATTGTTCATGATTGTATATTATTTTGTAAAATGATTGATTAATTATGCAATTTTCATTTTTGGAAAAAATTGCTCAAATTCGAATTTTTTTACAAACAAATTTTACAATTGGTCAATTACTTAAGTAACTTGATAATTTAATTTATAAAATGAGAAATTTTATCATTAGATAGATTGTCAATTAATATATTTAAATCATTCATAATATATGCCAAATCAATACGAAATTTAGGATTTGGCTGTAACATTGGTTCAATTAGTAAAATAAATATAGATGGATCTAATGTAGCCAAAACTGGAAATTCATTCAAATTCAATAAATCACCATTGATGTATCGTTTATAAGCATGAAATTTTCTTTCTTTAGCTGATTTCCATGGTAAACGGCCAGTTAACATTTCAACTAATACAATACCTGAACTCCAAACATCTAATGGAATACCATCATGAGGTCGAACTTTTGTTCCATCGATTATATCAAATGTCTCTGGTGCACGATATGAATCAGTACCACAGGCCGTCTGTAACATATACTTTTCATTATGATATTTATACATAGTCGCTATACCAAAATCAATCAATTTTAAGCAATCATTTTGGTCAATTACTAAATTCGATGGTCGAATATCTCGATGTACAAAACCACATTCATGAAGATAATTTAAAGCGCTAGCCAAATGTTTAAAATATTTCAATGCTTTTTGTTTTACCATACCTAATTGATTTATTTTTAGATGATTATACAACGAACCATTCACTGCATGTTCAAGATAAAGAAATGTATTTGTTAAAATTTGTTCCGAATATAACAGTTTAACAATATTCGGATGTTTCAATTGACTTTGTATTTCTATTTCTCTTTGTGCTTTAATTTTAGCACTTTCATCATAAACATTAATCACTTTTAAAGCCAATAATTGATTTGGAAAACGTTCCTCTTCAATCAGATATACACGACCATATGTACCTTCACCGATTGTTTTAATGATTTTCAATGTTTTCGGTAAATTCAATGATGACATAATCATAATCTGTGAAAAAAAAATAAAAATAAAAATATTAGGTCATTCCAAAATAGTAGAATCGCATAAATGTATTATATACATCTATCTATCTGTTATAAAATTAAAATATAAACAAGCAATAAAATCCAAGAAAAAAAAGTTTCAAATTATGAGAATTTTTATTATTATTATTATTATTCGCTTTCAGTCAATAGTTGATGTGGGTTTTCTTTTGTTTTTCATTTGTTTTTCATCTGTCTTGCTCCAATTAAATATGTTAGTCTGTATGTAGAGGTATTATTTCATATTTTACATTTGTGTGTTTGTGTTTAATCAGATGAGTATCAAATGAATAATAATATACTGGTCATTCATAAACAAATTAAAACTTGGAAAAAAAACTGAGATCTTTGTATGTTTTTTTTTTTGTAATGTCAAAATAAAATATTGGATCGACAAAAAACAAAAATGAGAATGAAAAAAAGGAGTCCGGAAAACAGTTCGATAAATAGAATGTCTATAGGAGAAAAAAAGAAATTTGTTTGATTAAATCGAAATTTCTTTTGAAAGAACTATGTAGTGAATATTTTACAAATCGAATTTCGATTTTTTTTTCATTCTATTTTATTTGAGTTTATTATAATGGAATAATGGAAAATAATAAAAATGGATGGCATTGAGGCTTGGCTTTATATCATTGATCATCATTGAAAATAATATTATTGTTTGAATTTTTATTTTGTTAAGAATTTTATTTTTTATTTTTTAATCAAATGTAAATGTTGTAGGCCGTGAACAATTGTAACAATGTCTTGTTCGTGTTTGTGATGTATTTGATTCTGATGATGATGATGTATTGGTTGTCGTCGTTGATGACGAAGTTGAAATTATTGATGACGTTATCCTATTACCGATTGAATGATTATGTTGAAATTGAGAATTAGATATTGATTCATTATTGTTGATCGAATTGTGTCCAATGTTTTTTTGTTTAATTTCGGAAGATTTACTCGTTATAGTTGTTGTTAATGATGATGGTGATGAAGAATAAATTGTTGTTAATGGCACAACTGATGTTTGATTCATTATCGTTGTTAATGTTAATGATGGTCTTGATTGTTGTTGTGATGAAACGGATGGTGATGTAGGTGAAGAGTTTTCCGATTGTTGTTGAAAGTTACTATTCGTATAATTGTTGTCCTTATAACAGGTCTCATTCGAAGAATTTGTCGGTTTTTTATCCGTAGATTCGTCATCAACATTCGAATAATTATGATAAGTTGTTGTCGACAATGATAATGATAAAGATGTTGGTAATGTTGTATCTTTTGTATTCGGAACAGATTCTTTTTGATAATGTAATGTTGATGATGATGGATTTATGATTGGTTCATCAATAAAATTCGTATCCATTTCGAAAATTTGTACATAAAATCGAATCATCAATTCAATAATTCGTGCTTGTGGTGCTGCTTCGAATACTTCAGTATGAAGATCATTGATTGTATCGCTATTTAAAGAAACACAAAAAAAACAAAAAAGATTTTTTTTACTTTTTGCTAGAATTATTTGATCAACAACAAAAAAATCTAGAAACAAAATTCTTATTTTTATCACATTTTCCACTTTTCCATATCTACATTCAATCTTTGTATGAAAGTTTGAATTTTGTTTTTTGCAAAAGGAGAAAATACCATTCGTTAGAATCTAGAAAACGACAAATAATCCCTTTCAAGTTCAATTCAGATGCTGTAACAAAAAAAAGAAGAATAACGTCATCGGGAAGAAAGTAAGCAAGAAATAAAAACAAAAACTGATATGAGAATTTTGCATAGAAAAAAATAACAACAAATAAAAGCTTAAAAAAACTGAACCGGTATGAATCCACTGTTACCAAGGGGATAACAATTATCATACAAATTTACATAGAATCATTCTATTACAATTCAAGTTGTTTCAACAACAAAAAAGAATATTGTGTTGCTTGCTTAATAAAAAAAATGATAAGAAAAATAACAAGCATAATTTTACAATGAACAGTAGTGGTGGATTACAAACAAACAAAAAAAAAAAGAATAAAATAAAAAATTATTATTGCCCTGATAAACCCGGTTAGAGAAAATGAAAGATCTTTGAAAATGATAGGCCTAAAAATGTCCCGCCTGAATGAATGAAAAGATTAGATTAATACTCAAGAAATATGATGTGATCGTGACATTTATAATTTTTGTAAAAAATCAAACAAAAAAAAATTTCCTATTAAATGTCCAAACACGTCATGTATATGTGTGAGTGCAAACAAAAAATGACAAAATCGATATTGGTATTTGATTGAATGAAATCCGGATGATGCAAGAAAAAATTTAGGATAAATTATTTTCGTTCTCTTTTTTGTTTTTGATCCAACATAAATTTATCAGATAAAATAAAAGTTGACCTCATTATCAGTGTTGATGACGACATTATTTTGATAATTTTTATTGATTTTTTCAATAAACAACAACAACAACAAAATTTTTGAGGTTATAAATATTTTTTCTTTCTTCTTCTTGACATCGATTTTCATGGCTGATTTGTTTTTTTTCGGTTTTCTTTACCGTCATTTTGATATTCAATTTTTTTTGGTTCATATACACAAAAATTATTCCAACTATTTAGTAGTAAAAAATTACATGCTTCAAATGACGGTAAAATATTTTTTTTCTTTAAACAGAAAAACCAAACAAAACGGTACAATAAACCTGAAAAATAATTGTCGAAACAACCAAACAAAAAAAACTGCTATATTTTGACTTTAAATACCCAAACTAGAAATAAATAAGGTAAAGGGCAACTGTGATCATGTTTAAACTTTTGGCATAAATTCATTATCTGTATTGAATAGGCTGATGATAGTTGAAAATAAAAACATGATGAATATTACAAAAATCGGATATGTTTATCAAGAAAATGTTTATTGTTATTGTTGTTGATGGTGATAAATTATGCAATCAATTCATAGTATGTAAATGGAAATTCTTAAAAAAAATCATGTGACAATCATTTTCACTTCAACGAAAAAAAAAAAACAGAATTTCAAATAGCGACTTTTTTTAGCACAAAACAAAATTACAAATTTGAAATTTAAATTTTTCTTTTTTTTGAACTGGGATCTAGAATTTCTTTTTTGTTGTTGATTATCAACAAAATCATTCGACTGACAACAACATAATCTTTAACCAAAAAATTCAACATCGATTCCATACAATATTAGATAACCAATTGTCGATTGGACATTGGCAAAATAAAAATAACTTCTAATGCTTCTAATATATTTTTTCCAAAGAATTTATGATGACAAAAAGAAAAACATTTGGTTCTTTTTTCTTTCTATTCTCATTCTAGAATCTTATTTCGTATTCAAATATGAATTAGTTGAGCTTACAAAAACAAAAAACAAAAGCAAAAGAAGCTCAGTGAATAATAAGAAAAAAAAGAAAAAAAAAAGAATATAATTAAAGATTAGTAACGAATAATAATAATTATTTTTTTTCGTTAACGATTAAAAATCCTCTGTGATCTTGGATTGAAAAAATAACAGATTCAAAACAAAAAATTCACAGGAAAACAAAACAAAACAAAACAAGACTGTCATTATAATTACCATAATCAAGTAAGAAAGCAAACAAACAAACATTGTTTTCTTTTCTTTTTTGTATGACAAAACATAAGATTCTAACAAAATTCTTGATAAAAATGTACACAAAAACAAAATTTGTTCAAACAATATGTCAATCAACAACAACAACAACAACAATGAATTAAATATTATGCGAATTCAAAACAGAGGAAAATAGACACTTTTCAAATCACACTTTCACTTCAAAAAAAGAAAGAAAGAAACTAGCGTTTTTTATATTATTATTTTTATGATGTTTTTAGCCTTGATATCAACAAATTCTTTAAGCATTTACGTGAAAATATAAGATTTTTTTTTGTTCACTTGATCCATTTGGGACAAAGATTCTTTTTCTTATCCCAGAGATAAAATAATAATAAGGAAAATTCCTTTACAGTAGCTCTATTAGTATGACTATCATTTCGGGACCAGTTTTTTGTTTTGTGCAACAACAACAACAACAAAAAGATGAAATTATTATTCTCTATATTCATATCAAATAACATAGATCATTATTTAAGAATATTTCCAATCTTTTTTTTGCTCAATGAAACAAACAGAAAAAAAATCGTTACTTACCGTGGACGAAAAAATGTTGGAGCAAATATAATACCTAATGCTGCCGGAGACATATTATTTTGTTCTTGATGTTCAACAATACGGGTTAAATGTTTGATCATATGTTTTAATGTGGCACGATGATTTGTAGTTAATTTATTCAAGGCAATATGAATTTTTTGTATCAATTGTGATTGACCACCCAATACAATACCATCCTGATTAATATCATTATCCAATCGATATGATCTTCCTAGATCGATAAAATCTTTATATACAACATTGGTGATCAATGGTATTTTGAGCTATTCAAAGAAAAAAAATCAATCAATCGACAAAAGCAAAAAGTAAAGAAAAAAATAGAATATCAAAGTTATTCATTATTATTCACTTGAAAAGTATGTTATTTTTATATGATAATTTTTTTGTATGTTTTGTATGATTCCATAAAAAAATCGCCCACAAAATATATGGATAGATCATCATTTCCATTTTAGCAAATATCCAAAAAAATAGAATAAAAATAGTATGAAAAATATTTATTTTATATTCTTTTTTTCCTAGCAAAAAACAAATATCCAAACCATGAATAACTCCAATATTCTATTCAAAAATCAGAACATACATTAGAAAAAAAATGATGATGATGAATCAACCAAAAAAAAATTGGGAAAAATAACGTTTTTCATATTAATGGCATGGGAGAGAAAAAAATCAATGAATGAATGAATAGCAAGGACAAAGATAGACCGCGATATTAGAAACAAAACAAAACAAAGCAAAAAATAAGATGTCAACCCAAATATTTACATTGGAAACTTTTCATTTTCGAACAAAAAAGATCACATATAAGATTCAAATGTCAAGAGATTTTTTTTTTGTTTTGAACGTACAGTTCTAAAGTAAATATTCAACCTTATAATAAAAAATTTTTTCTTTTCTTTTCTTTTCTTCTGCTACGTCGTCTATAATAGTACATCTGAATTAACAAAAGAAGAAAAAAAAAGAATTCAGTCATTGAATGATGAAATAAAAGAAAGAAAAAACAGAATCAGTTACATTTTTACCGGAGGAGATATTTTTTGGTTTTAAGAACCTTTTTTGTTCCCCAATCGCTCATCATCATCATCATCATCATCAACACGACTATTGATGATTATAGATTCTGAATAAATTATACAATTCTTTTCATATGTCATTCAATTTTTTTTTTGGTTGTTGTTAACAATATTTTTATCTATTTCTATTTGTTATTTTTGGTATTCGAAATTCTATAGCTCTTTGCAGAACAAAAGAATTTGGTTCTGAACAAACAAACAAACGTCCAGAATATCGTATTTGAAACTTTTGATTTGTGATTTGTGATTTGAATATATTAATTGTTGATAATAATAATAATAATAATAATAATACTAACCTCACGAAGAAAAACTTTAAGAACGGATGTAAGATCATTGGCGGATACATCGGTAAGATCAATAAGATGTGGACCACTTTCAAAACTTTTGAGCAATTTTTCTACACGTGATGCTACACCAGTCATACGATATATACCGGGTCTTGTTATTGCACGACGTTCAATTTCCATTGTACATTTTTGTACTAATAATGGTATCATTTCATTTGATGATAACATATCCAATTCCATATTCAATATAGATGAACGTGGTGGTAATGGTGCTTGCGGGCACATAATGGCCATCTTTTTCAAACATTTTTTATGGCATATCAATTGGCACTATAGATAGATAGATGATTGAAAGAAAAGGTTATTGAAAGAAGAGAGAGAGAGAGAGAATAAAAAAACAATAAAGATGAAAAACTTATGAAAGGGAATTGATTCTATTTCGGTAAAATAAAATTCCAATATTTTTTTTTTTTGAAATTGATCATTCATTGAAATTGAGAACAAAGAAAAACAAAACAAAACAAAACAAAAAAATTAAAATTATCAAGAATTCTTTTCATGTTTTTGGTTCATATATACATGAATGAACAGGAATAATTTTCAAGAAATAGAAAATAGAAAACACTTCATATTTTCGAATGATAGTTGAATGAATTATTAAAAAAAATATATATACCCAAAAACCAAATAATAAAAAATTCAAATTTGATAGAAAATTATATTTTTACATTAAAAAAAAATACTTGATTGAATCATCATCGTCGTGGTTAACAAACAAACAAAACTATAGAATAGAGCAGTAAACACAAGAAACCAGACACCTGATTCATTATGAATGAAATTGGGGAAATAATTTTTTTTTTTGGAAAAAAGAATATTTTCATCGAACAATATATTGGAAAAAATAATGATGATGATAATGATGATTGTCACTATCATTACCAAAATAAGACATTAATGTTGAAATAGACAGGAGAAGAAAAAATTTCGTAAATTCGAATATTGCTCAAAACATTCGAATGATCAAGACAACAACAACAACATCGAATAAATGTGTTTCGAACGTTTTTATTTTTCGGCTGACGAAATTGATTGAATTTTTTACCGTCACATTCATTTATTATTATTCTTTTGTCGATAACAGGAAATTTTTTTTTTGAATACTATTAGCAATAATAATTGAAAAGCAACGTAATTCAAATGATGATTGTGATGATGATGATTCCAAAACCATCGATGACGACAAGGTGATGGGGATAATCACACACAATGTCGGTGCACAATGTTTTGTCAGAAGAAGTTTTTCTTTTGTAAACTGATGTTGAAGGTAAATGCTAATATTGAATCAATTGTAATAATGATTTTTTTTTTTGATATTGATTTTGTGTAGATTTGAAAGAGATGTCAATGGAAATAACATGAATGAGATTATAATCATTTTCATTTATGATATCGACATCTGTTAATTTTGTAATTAATAATGAATCTTCTTTTCATAATGGTTTTGAGCTATCGTCGACAACAACCAGAATAACAACAACAAAAATGATGAAAAAAAAATTATTACCATGAATTGTAATTGAAAAAATGAGATTCAATTATTTTCATCAAGGATTTTGTGTAAAACCTATTTTTACAACGAATCAATCAAGTATTTTTATTTTCATTCTATGTCAATGTAATAATACCTTTAGATATATTTATAGGAATAGAAACAACAAACAAACAAAAAAAAAATCAGAAGATTTTGCAAACATTAATTAAAGTTTTTTCAGCTATAGATTCGTAATTCTTTTTTTTTTATTTTAACAATATTAGGATTGTGATCATTTAATGACGAATGAATTGTTGTCATCGTTGTTTTTTTCTACATTCTTGTTATATAAGTATTTAATAGCAGTATTCATCATCATCATCGGTTCATTAATTTGTTCATTCCAAATGTTTACATTTAATGTATTACAACATGAAGATGAAAACCATTGAAATGAAGTATGTAGTTCAACAACAACAACAACAAAAACTTTTTCTCTTTCACAACAATGAATTTATTCGTTCCTGTTTTTATTTTATTTTATTTTTTGCATTTTGGAAATAAATCAAAGACATGTAGCGTTATAATATAAAAAAAATCACTCAACTTGTTCATCTCAACCAGAAACAAAAATCAACTAAATCATCAAAATTGAAACTAAAAAACTTTATTTCATCAAACTTTTATCCAAAAGAAGTGAAAAGTATATTATTAATCATTTTTGACAATAAACGATGATATCGATAACAAAATGTCAACAATAAATCGTCTTAGAAAAGAAAATCTCTATAGTGTCAAAACAAACTATAATTTAATTATTTTATTTTGACAAAAAATATGAAGGATTTTCATCAAATGTGTGTACCATTGGGTACATTCGGAATAAATTATTTTTTTTTTTTTAAAGTAGAATTTAGAATAAATTTGAGAAATTTTTTCCAAAGGAAATTGAACACCCGAAAACTTTTCGAGAAGTATATAATGAATCAATGATTCAACCTATCATCAGTGGGGGTGGGGAACAAAAAAACGTCAACAAAATTTTTTTTTTTTGCTCAATCACAAATGCACAGACGGACGATTTCCGAATTGGTTGTGAAAGAAGAATAGAAAGAAAAAATATGATAATGAACCAAAGAATAAATGAATTGAATTCTTATAAACTTTTTAAAAAGATTTTGTTTCTTTGATTTTGAAGTTATACACAAAAGAAGAAAAACATTCAAAAAGATATTAGAATAATAAAAGTTGATGACACTAATGGCTTGTATAACAAGTATGACAAAGAAAAAAAATTCTCAACATCTTTTCTCTCTCTCAATTGACATAATTTCCTTTCAAAATAAAAAATAATTAAGAAAAAAAACTTGACAAAAACTTACCTGTGTACATTCGAATCCCCAAAAATATACATAAGCATCACAAATTATACAACGGCCATAGTTGGTTGTTTTCATTCGTTGAAAACAATGTGATTCAGCTGCACGTGACATTTTCTTTTTTCTTCTTGATTTTCCTTTATTTTTAAAAAAAACCATCAACAATTCATTGAACAATTCAATTATGGTTAATTATGGCTATAGATTTTCATTTTTTTTACCTTTATCTTTTTTTGATTTACCCGATTCAGATTCTTGCTTAACAATAGCTGCTGCATGTACCGTAATATTTGTTGATGTTGTCGGAGAAAGTGATAATGACGATTTTTTATCCGTATCAGATTTGGACACAGTTTTAATTGATGATTTTTTTGATTCTATATCGAACATTCTATTGGATGTTGTTGGTGATAATGATGGTGATTTTCGATTACATAATTCATTATCACCGATTGGTGGTGAATATTCTTCATTACTATGTGTGGATGCTGATGGACTTGGTACCGGGCTTCGTTCATCTTCGGTAGCTTCATCAGCCGATCTTGCAGACCATGATGATGATGCAGAATCTGATTCTGAGCTACGTATGACCATCGGCAATGGTAAGCTCCATTTTTTAGTTGTATTACCACCACATGATTTCAGAATATCCTCTGTAGAATAAGAGAAATTAAAAAATTTGCAAATCAAAACAATCATGAATTTGGATTACCAATCTTTTGTTGGCCATTAATACTATCTGTTTCGGAATCCGAACAAATCGATGGTTGACGTTCACGATCTATTGATCGTTCTTGTCCACGACGTTTGGAATAATATTTGGCACGAAGTTTCCAATTAGTTGATCCACCGCCATTGCCGCCACTATTTGACTTTCGTTCATTTGATCCATGCGATATTAGACTTCCAACAATCGATACATTGCTTCCGATTGGACTATTTGGCGATGAACGACTTAACAATTGAAATGGTGATTCTTGTGGTGATAGATACATAGATGAATAACCAGTTGATTGTGATTGATTGTGATCGTTTTCTGTTTTTTTCGATATTGTTTGTTCATTAGGATTTTTTATTCGATCAAAAGAATTATCATCTATTTCTTCGGATTCCTGCCTTTCGGATGATTCGGCAAAATGTACAACACGTGGTGTTTGCATTTCAGTTCTATGATGATCACAGTTTTGGCACTCATCTTTTACATTATTTTCATTATTTTTAGATTGCATTGTTGTTGTTGGCGATGTTGTTGACATTTTTGTTGTAAATGTCCAAATATTGTCTTGTGATTGATCTGTTTGCATTGAAGATCACACGATGATGATCATGATGAAATAAACAAACAAACAAAAACGGAACAAATTCACTATATAACCGATGACACCGAGAGAATGATAGAAATTAATTTAGTTTCAATAACAAACAAAAACAAACGAAAAAAATATTTAGTAAAGTTGTTTTCGAATAAAATCGACTTATAAACAAACTAAATGAATGATCATCATATGTGATTCACAATTGGATATTTTCCAGTGAAAAATATAGACCAAAAATAGATATATTTCATACAACCAATATGATCAATGAATACCATCAATCTCACAAACGCACACACAAGATTGAATTCAATCATGAATCATATGAAATCAATATAGAATTGAATAAATACAAATGATTTTTATTTTCTCGCTGCAATTAAATACGCAATTCTCGTTGATTGTCTTTTTTTTTCTCATTGATTGTTGATCTCTCAATTCTTTTGTTTGTTTTGGTTGTTTTTTCCAAATGAATTTCAACAAAAACAATTATTTTATCCGGTTTATGTTTCACTGTTATTTGTGTTATTCGATGCAATTAAATATAAAGATCATCATCACTTGAAACAGAGTATAACACAAATCACAAATCAAATGACGTTTTTTTCCCAATAATATTATTTTTTTCCGGCTGATGACGATCTTGTTGATTAGATGAAAATGATGGTGGTAGTCTGAGAAAAGAAAGAAAAATTTTCAACAAAAATTATATAAATATTGGCAATAATGACCATATAGACAATTTTGTGTATAAGATTCATGTCATGTATAAATGTTGTTGTTGTTGTTGTTAAGAACTTGTAAGTTTGTTTTTATTATTATTATTATTATTATTTGGATTGATCAAATACCAACAGATTGGATAACAACAATATTGATTTTGGTTCACTTGAATTTTATTATCATTATTATTATCAGAATCGTAAACTTTCGAAAATCTATTACTATAATGTAATAAATACTGTTTTTTTTTCTTCACATATTACCATCATAAATGAAATTAATTTTCATTTCGCCTCGATATATATAATAAACAACATTGGATATTTACACAAAGATTCTTTGATATGATGATAACTAAAAAATCTTGTCTAAAATAGTTAAGTTTGAGAACAAACAAACAAAAAATCACTTACCCGCACAAATTGATTGAAAACAAACAAACAAAAAAATGATTAAATTAATGAATTTTCATATGGACAAACCCATAATTTAGATTATTATGATGTAATTCCGATTAATAAACAATGGCAATGAAGATAATCGCGGTAGATTGGTTAATTCTCATTAGGGACTTTTGTTGATAGAATAAAAAACAACATATAACATTTAAAAACCGGAACTATTCTTTTCTTTCATTCATAGTTTTTTTGTATTTGTTTATCTGCACACAAAAAAAAAGAAAAAAGAAAAATCATATAGATTTAGTAGGCGTTTAGAGATAAAATATTTGATCATTGATGTCATCGGATCTAAAAAATTGCTTATTATTTTTTCAATTTCAATTTTGTTGTTGTTGTTGTTGCATTTATTGTGGCAGATGAATTTGGTTGGATTATTGACCAAAAAACCAATGGGAAAAAAACGTTGGTTAAAATATATTGAATTTTTGAACAACAAGAAATAAATAAATCATTCAAATCAAATTAAATCAAATAAAAAATGAAAATTTCAATGAATAAAAATAACATTGTAATAGCCGAAACAAACAAAACAAAAAAAAATATTACATTCATATATCGAACAAATAAATGATTTGAAATGAGGTTTGAAAACTAGCAACCATAGGGCTTTTATCTTGAACGAAAATTTCTTTTTTTATTGGGTTACAATCTACCTCTCTCCATGCACTCCAGAGCATGAATCGAATAAAAAAACTACAGTCTAAAAAGCAGATTCTGTCCAAAATGAATGGCGTACTGGTATTTTTTTTTATAAATATATAGTCATCATCAGTATGAAAACTCCAGCAAAACAACAGAAAAAAAAAGAATTCTAATTTGTTTAGGTTATTATGTAACTGCAATGACAATAATAAGGTAGAATGAACACTACCGTCATTGAATCATTTATTGCTATAGATTTTTTTCTGGTATTTGCGTTCTCTCTGTCGACAAATTCTTCACACACGACACACAAATCGTATCGAATAAAAAAATCAATCAATTTTTTAAAATGTTTGGGAAATCTAACCTTTCGTTTCATCAATATGATCAATCGAAATATATTAGCTATCAAGGTGTCGAATGTTTTTTTTATTGGAAAAATTTTCAAATCAACAATCAATTCAATTACCAAAATGTTTCATTCAACCATAGGCAATTATTTTAACTTCATTCAATTCTATTAGCAATAATATTTTAATTTATAAAAAAAAACTAAAATGGTAAATGTTTTTTTTTTGGGGATGAACAAATAATAAAAAGCTTAGAATCATTCGGACAAGAAAAATTCTATCAAATTTTTTTTCAAATGAAACTAGTTAAAACTGGAATCAAGCCAGATTAGAACTGGAATCTTAGCTTATTGATAGTTTTCTAGCAACAAAAAAAACGAAAGAAAAGAATAAGAGGGAAACATATTTTGGAATGTAGATTGACGATTTATTTTGTCTTAATTTCATATTTTATAAGCTGTTACCAATTTAAAATGAAAATTTTAGCTTTGAAATTGAATTGTGAAATATGTTTTCCACCTATTAAATTGAAAAATAAAACGAATTCCGATACAAGTGCAAAAAAAGAAAATTTCTTTCCACAAAAATGATTATTGATTTGGGCCGGGTCTTTTACGTTTTCGTTTTTGTTGTTGTTTATTTTTGAATCTAAAATTCACTATTTTTAGGTAACAATCGACAAAGAAAAGGGACCGGAAATTTAAAAACTTTATTTTCACTCTTTTTTTGTTGTTGTTGTTGTTTGTTTGTTGGTGAGGGTAACAATCTAAAGAATTGCCAATTAATTACTACTGGAATTATATGGAAGCGGGAAAAAAAAGAAAACTTTCCAAATCCAACATAAAACGATAAAATAAACAATATTTACGTAAAACATTCGATTTTGGTGTTATTTTTAGATTTTTATTTTTAATCCAAAATTTATTAACTTTTGTTGATGAATTTTTTTCTTTTTCTTTTCGTTCAAAATCATTAATGAAAAAAAACTATTGGAATTAACATAATATCATTTGGGGAAAAAAATCAGTATGTTGTTACAAAAACGAATTGTATGCTAAATTCAATTGATCATTATTTATCAATTGTCGTTATAATTACTGATAATGATATCGATAGGTTTTTTTTTAGATTCTATCTTTCGATATAGTGACGAAATCGGAAGGAAAATTTGCGAATCCAATCGCAAGAGGGTTGGGAGAATCAAAAATGAAATAAAATCATCATTATAACGATGATAACGATGATCATCATTGATGTTGAAGGAAAAAAGTCTTTTCTGGTACCAATATGAATAATAAGTTTCATTAGTTATGATAGATATATGTTCATTTTATTCAGGTCAAAAATCATATAAGAAAAAAATAAATTACTTTTATGATAATTAATATCAAACGAAATTATTTATCTTAATGACAATGACAACTAATAAAATACAAAATTTTATATGAATAATATATATTCAAAACAAAAACAAAAAAACAAATTTTTTATGGCAAGCCATTATAATTAGTAATTGATGAATTTGTCCGAATTGTTATTACATTTTATATATAATGATGAGCTTGATTATGTTTATATCTTTTTTTTTATAACCATCATCGTTTTTATTTCATCAAACGATAATTAATAATAAATGTAAATTGAAGGAGGTTTTGTTTTTGTTTTTTTTTACCAAACTTATTAATTGATTGACGAAACGATTCAATGATCGGTGATCCAGAAAAAAAAATTATTAATTCTTGATTCAAAAAAAAATAATAATCATCAATAATCGATATTAATATTGAAAAATTACAGAACCAATCAAATTAGTCAATTGCGAATTGAATCGTACATTATGTTGAAATATGTGGATGTATTTTTGAAGATTCTTTTTTATTTATTTCGCAATCAAAATGATTTTTTTTTCATTGATTATTAAATTGAATTAGAAAATCGTTAAGATAATGATGATGACGAAAAACGATTTAACATCAAGAATAGTTGATCAATTGACCAACGGAGGGAGGGGGAAGATTTTTATTTTGTATTTTTGAAAAAATATATATTTTCTTTGGGATATATTTTTAGAAAATGTACATAAATAAATATAACATTCGCCTTTTTTTATAAATATGATACTATGATGTGTTTATTATAATGACACAATCTATTTTTGGGATATATATACAAAGAAAAAGAAAAGTAATCTATGAAATTCTTTAACTAAAAATGAACATTTCGCTAGTGGAATGAATGAAAAAAAGGATCATTTTTTATTTTTATAACAAAAAACAAAAAAAAAAATGTACAGCAAAGTTTTAATTAGATCAATTTTTGTTTTCTCCTACTATAACATTTATAAATATTATACCTCATCAAGTTTTTCTTTTCTTTTTTTTTCTTAGTTCCAAATTATCCAATCAATTTAATCCTATGTTCATTTGAACATGATGTGACTTGAGAATAAACTTGGTTTCTTTTTTTTTTTGGTTTGGTTGAAATAAACTCTCACGTCAAAGCATCATCACGGATTTTACGCATGTGTATGTAACGAATCATCATCATTCAAGGATTATATTAACAAAAAAAAAACAGCTATTATTAACCGAGAAAAAACATTGTATAAAATTCAAAAGAAACATTTGGAATTTTGTAATATTAGAAGGTCAATATAGCTAATGACTTCAACAATAACAACAACAAAAAAAAGGTTATGATTTCGATAATATTTTCAATTAGGACTCTCTCTCACTTATATTCGTTTTTTAACATCCAAATCGAATCGAGTTAATCTCATTAAAAGGCAACAAGTCATTTGTAAGAATTACATTTAAACAAAGTAAGTAAGTAATATACTTAAATTGATTTTCAATTCTAAATTCGGATTTTCACTTCAAATCACACACACACACACATACACTTATCATTCACATCATGTGAAGTGGATTAAAAATTATTTGGGAGAGAAAAAAAAACGGTTCACAAACTGAAAGGAACTACATACATTTACTACGGATAGAAATAACTAACACTACATGGAATAGAAAATTCTGGCCTTATTATTTCAATAATGATGTGCATACTTTTGATTTGTAAAGTAAAAAATAAAAAAAAATTTCTCTAAACCGTTGTTTTCGTCGGATGTGTTGCCGAATTGTTCAAATAAAAATAAAAAATTCAATCATATTGATTAGTTTCAAAAATCAAGAAAAAGGAATCAAGAATTTTACTTCAATTTCATTACTTTGATTTTATTTCCAATTGTTCACTTTACTATTTTAGATTTTGTGACATGTTTTGATTTTTTTTTTTTTGAAAATAAAAAATATTATTATTTTCTTGGTTGGTTCATTCTGAGCTTATTTTTTTTCTCTCCAAATGAATACAGAAAAACAAGCACTTGGAAATAGAAAAATGTTGCCATTTTCATATACCAAAATAAGCAACAACAACAACAGAAATATGTATAGAAATGGACAAAATGTCGGAATAGGAACAAAAAATTGTTTATTGTCATTCAAGTATAAATTGTGTTTTTTGTTGGTAAAGAATTTTCAAAATATATTCTTGAAATTGCTATAGTCATCAAAATTTTCATCTATCATATGATATATTCAATGTTTGGATTTTTTTTTACTTCTTTTCATTGCCATATAATCTCACAATTATGATTGAGATTATATGAAAAAATAATTTGTCTTGCAATTTAAGAAATAAAAAAATAGTGGATATAGGGAAAAAATGACTTTTACAAATGAACAAACATTCATTCATAAAAGTTGTTTACCATTTTCAAAAAATAATTTGCTGTTTTGAATGGCAATAAATTTTGTATTTAGCTCTGTACAATCGCATTTGTCCGATGGAAAAAAAAGATTCAGGAATGACAATTTTCAATCCTCTCTCTCTCTATCTTGATTCACAATTTTGAACAGGAATTTTTTTTTTCAAACGCTAAGCTTACAGCTTTGTAACCATCCTGATTGGTGAAAGTTTTCTCCCTTGGTAAATGATGATTTTACAGAGAAAAAAAAACTTTTTTTTTTGGTCGAAGTAATCATTATATTTATCTGTATCGAAGATAAATGTCCCTGTATACAATAAATGAATTTGATAATAATGAATCTCGATTGTAAAAAAAATATAGAGAGGGTTTTATGTTCGTTTTATTATAAAATTTAATAATGTAAATAATGCTTGAATGATGATGACTTTATACAGAAAAAAATCGTAAATCTAATATTTGAAACATTAAAAAAACTAAATGAGTGCAAAATTGACAAAATATACACACGCTATATGGTTTTTATAATTAGAATTCTGTTTAATTCTTTCTGAAAACCTATCAAATAATAAAAATCGGAGGAAAATTTTCCTATTTTTTCATATAGAAAATGAAATAAACTAATTACTTTATGATGATGATTCATTATTTTTCCCTTTATTATTATTATTATTATTATCAGAATTTTGTTGTCGTGGAGAAAATTAGTATAAAAAAACAAGGTACTTTTCCGTTAGCCGGGCGCATTTTTGTATAAATGTATAAACTTATATATTTTGATATACAGTTATAGGGGTTTCACACTACAGCAATATTTCATGAAATATATACACGAAAATATTTCAGCCCATAAGGTTGAAATGGACTGAAATATTGCATTTGAAATATTTCATTCACATTGCTGCTAGTGTGAAACCCCTATTATATAAATATGGTATTATGTGCAACACAGGCAAATGAACATTTCGAAGTGTTGTCGAAATATTTCATACCAAAAACAAATAGATAACAAAAAAAACTAAAATTTCCAATCAAATGTCATTCATTTTGTATCAAAGAATAAAAATTTAAAAACAAAAAAAAGCAGAAAGATTTTGTATCAACAAAAAACAGCTTACAAATCTTTTCAATGTTTGTCATCTTTCATTTCATTCATTTTTAGTTTATTATTGTAGTATACCACTGCTGTGTGGTTAATATTATTTATTTGTAAAATCATGTATGGTATATATAAATCGATTTCCTGTACAAATAACTGAATGTGTAATTAATTCATGGTAAAAAGATTCACAATACAAATTATGTACCCACCATTAACAAACTTTATTGCTAAACTTTTGTCTTGATTCTTTTATTTATTCAAATACAGGAAATTTAAGCATTTTTTCCTCAAAACAACATGACAACCTTTCCGGTTCTAGGAAAAAGAAATCAGAATATCTAATGTAATGTATTTTCTTTAATGTTCGACTAATAAAGGTCACGACGTAACCAAAGTATTGTCGATGTTCATTATAAACAAGAATAAGTTAGTTTGTTGCTTCGATAGACACAACAAAAAAAAATCCAAAACAATTTATTCATTATTTATGAATCAAATTGTTAAAGCCAAAAAAAAATTTCTCTGGGCAATTGAAATTTGATATAAATCATTTTGCAATACATTACATGATATGATCACCACGGTTAATCGTTTATTACTAGTTTTTTTTTTTGATCAATTATTACTTGGTTAAATGTGATACATTGTTACCTTTTCTTAATAAATGAAAATTGAGATCTTTTGCTTGAAACTAATAATCAGTTGAAAAAAACATGGAAAATGAAAATGATATTTATTTCATTATTTATTAATTTAATTTGCATAGCAATCGATTCAAATAGTCAAATATTTTTTTTTCAAAAAACAATCAATTTTGCTTTATCTTAGTACCAAAGAAAAGTTGCAATCGATTCCGATGCCATGACAAATTGAAAATGTCCTCGTTCTCGATCATACACTTGAATAGGAATTGTTTTCGGATTTTGATTTAATAATATCATTACTAAAGATCCATCGGGCCTTGAAAATGTTGTCACATCGATTTTGTTTAAAAGATTTGATTCAATTTCCCAATGAATTCTTGTTGAATTTGGTGGTAAAAATTTACTAAAATGTCCCATTGCATAGAATGATGGCTGTTTATAATATTCATTTGCCGTTGCATTGATTATTATCGGTGCATCAACCATATTTCCAACCCAATTTGGACCACCATTCAAATCTAATGCCAGGTTCCAATCTGTCCATCCGGTTGAATAATGATTTAAATCTTTTATAATATCATTAGCATAGCGATTCATCAGATGCCAACTTCCAAGATGTACTTTTTTTGGACTATTTTTCCATTCTTCACATGCTTCCGTTGCCAGAAGGAAAATATTCGGAAATTTAGCATTCAATTTATCTAAATCATTTCGGTCAGCTTTATCATTGTTGTACCAATGAAAAGCAACACCCGATACATATTTAGCTGTTTCTGCATCGGCCATTACTGTTTCCGTGAATGTTTTCATTTGTGGCATTTGATCGTCATAAATCATAACAGCTAATTTATTTTTAGTATAGCCATTTTGATGTAGTTCTGGTCCAAGATCAAGCTTAAGAAAATCACGTTCCAATGTTGAATTGAATCCCAAACAATTCCATTTATAATTAGGATCAAAACCTGCACCTGGTTCATTTTCAATGGTAATTCCCCATAATGAAATGTTTTGCTTATCATATTCTTGAAGAAATCGAACAATATATTTAGCAAAAAGTTTATAATATTTTTCACCAGGATGACCTTTAAGTAGGCCACCATGTCTAATATCATTATTTGTTTTCATCCAACGTGGAGAACTCCATGGACTTGCATAATAATGTAATTTATTTGGACTAATTTTCTGTGCCATTTTCAAATAAGGAATCTACAATAATAATAATAAGTTTTAAGATAAAATTAATCATCACTTTTAAAGATTGGATATACCTTGAATTGATAGTCTTCCATTTGTAAGCTAAACTTTGACAAACTATCATCATCATTAAAATCATCATAAGTATATGGACGAGAAGAAAAATCCGATCCACCAATCGGTATACGACCAAGTGTATATTCAATTCCATTTGATCCAAAATAATCTTCAATCAATTGTGATTGAAGTTTTTTCGAAAGTGAAGCAATATTTAAACCAGCAGCATCGGTAAATGCACCACCAAAACCAATAATTTTTTGATATTTTTTAGTTCTATCCACATTGATCTGAATATGATCATCATTGGACAAAATCATACCACTTTTGGTAAAATTAATTTGACTTGGTCGAAATCGAAAATCATTACGGCTTGATTCATACACCTGAACAATTCCTTGTGATGTTTTTTTCAATTTATCAAAAGTATCGCATGTTTTTTCATTACATACACAAACAAACGAATCTTGATCAAATTTTTTACGTTGACATTCAGTGTTGGCTATAAATAAATAATTAAAAAGGAAAAGAAATGAAACTGTTAGCACTGTGTTTTTTTGGCAATATAAAAAACAACTACCATAAGTTATCTTCACCAATGAAATTATAAACAATAAAATGAAAATTGAAAAATATTTCATCTTTTCAGACATTTTTTTATCGTTTTATTGATATAATCATTCAAATAAGGATGAATATTTAAAAAAAACAGCAAAATAAACAAAACAAAAATATCAATTGAACAATGTAATGCTTATGTGAGTACAACTTTCCTTCCCAATTGCGATTGCAGTGTGTATTGATGTCATCAATAAATAATTGTTTATCAGTCTGGATTGATAAATAAATGGATCGAGATGATAAAAATGACATAGATTTTTTTTTTTTTGCTTGTTTATCTTTTCATTGCACAACAACAACAAAGTATTTATCAATCAATTATCACTCAACACCATTTTTAATACCAAAGTAAACTTGCCATCGATTCAGATTTCATTTCAAATATAAATTTTCCTCGTTTAGGATCAGTAATAAGTATAGATTTTTTTTCTTTATTTTGATTCAATAGAATCAATACTATTCCATTATCAGGACGTTGAAAAACTGTTGCCTTGATTATTGAATATTGTTCAGTTTCATCGGAATCCATTTCTAAATGAATTCTAACCGAACCAGGTGTTAAAAATTTACTAAAATGTCCCATAGCATAGAATGTTGGTTGTTTATAATATTCATTTCCAGTAGTATTTATAATGATTGGTGCATCAACCAGATTTTCTGCCCAACCTGGACCACCTACAATATTCAGAGCCATATTCCAATCAATCCATCCTGATGAATAATGATTTAAATCTTCAATAATATCATCGGCATAATGATTAAATGCATGCCAATCACCCAAATGAACACGTTCACTGTCATTTTCTCGTAGCTCACAAGCTTCAGTGTTGAGCATAAAAATATCATGATATTTATGATAAATATCATCAATATCTTTACGATTGGCTTCTTTACGACGATTCTCATACCAATGAAAAGCAACACCAGAAACAAATTCAGCTGCATGTTTATCATTTAACACTGTTTCTACATAGGGTTTCATATCAAGCAAACAATCATCGTAAATCATCAATTTAAGTTTTTCTTTTTTGAATCCATTTCGATGTAATTCCGGACCAAGATCTAGTTTGAGAAAATCTCTCTGTTGACTTGAATTAAGTCCTAAACAATTCCATTTCCATTCGGGAATCATTCCTTTTACCGGCTCATTAACAACGGTTATTCCCCAAATAGGAATTTTCTGATTTTCATATGCATTTAAAAATTTGACAATATATTTAGCAAACAGTTTATAATATTTTCCTCCGGGTTCGCCTTTCAGATAACCACCATGGCTAATATCATTGTTGGTTTTCATCCATGCAGGAGGGCCCCAAGCACTGCCAAAAAAAAGAATTTTATGTGAACTAAATTTTTGTGCCATTTTTATATATGGAATCTAAATTATATGCAAAAAAAAAGAATCCATCAATGAAATAGATCTAATATATTTGGGTATTGACCTTGTATTCTAAATCCTCAGTTTGTAGGCGAAAATTAGACAATGTTTCATCACCAGATTCATCAGCATAAGTATATGGACGTGGAGAAAAGTCTGTACCACCGATTGGTATTCGTCCAACATTATATTCAATACCATCTGATCCAAAATAATCCTTTATCAATCGAACCTGTAATTTATTATCAAGTTTTTTTATATTCAATCCAGTTGAATCAGAAAATGCACCACCAAATCCAATAATATGTTGATATTTTTTATCACGATATATACTTATTCGAATATCATTCTTTTTTTTAGGTTTATTAGTTTGAAAAATGAATCGACTAAATTCAAAACGATCACCATCTCGGCTTGTTACATAAACTTGAATTTTACCGACAGCTGTCTTTGGCAATGGTCCTAAAATATCACAATGGTTTTTATTGCAAACACATACAGTCGAATCATATTGAAATTTGCGATGATTACATTTAACATGTAAACGTTTGGCTTATATAAATGGGGAAAAACAAATGGGATAAATCTTTTCAACAAAAAAAAGCAATGAATATAATAGATACCAGGTTTATATGAAAGAATATCTTCAACGATAACGATTGTTATGACAATTATAGTGATAATTGCTGATATACATAGTACAATTTTAAAAATTTTCGACATTATTAATTATACATTCAAATAAAACACATTGGGGTGTTAAAGTTCGAAAGAACTTCGAAAAAAACTAAACATATTTTCAAGAATTTTTCTAATTGAATGGATTTATATTTAATCAGCAAATAAATAAATATACTCTTGTCACCAATAAATTAATCTAAAATCTAATTAAAGATAATTTTTTTTAATGGCCTAGATTTTCAAATAAAATGTTGTAACTGCCATCTATCATTATATCTTAACAACATTGACATTTATAATTTTTCTATTATTTCATTATCCATGGATGTCCGGTAATTTTATCAAATTTTATACGTTGATCAGCATTTGAACATAAAATTCGTGATAAAAAATTTTGACATTGTGATGAAGTTTTTGTCTGACGAACATTTGTTTGAATTTCTTCTTCGATTCGAGGATTTTCACGCTTTTGAAAAAAAAACAAACAAAAATAATTTGGAAAAAAAAAATTAAATAGAATAATCCAAAATCATATAAAATATAATTAACATTACCGAAAAATCATATGGATATTTTTTAGTCAAAATGTAATAGATACTAGCACCAAATGACCAAATATCAGCATGAACTGGATCAAAAGCTTCGGTCATGGCATCACCATAAACTTCTGGTGCTTGAAATTCTGGTTCCGGTGGTCTATCAGCCAATGCAACACACGGTACAAGATTAACATTTTCACGACGTATATCCCAATAGATCATGGCTGAACGAAATCCTGCAAGTTTCACTCGTACCGGTTCTCTGTGTGCAATCATAATGTATCGTGGTGATAATGAACGATGTGATATGCCCATATCACCAAGAAAATCTAATGCCATAGCAAGTTGTTGAGCTATTTCGGATGCTTTCTTTTCATCAAAACATGGATAATTTTTTACTTTCAAATAAGTTTCCATAGATCCATGACAAAGATATTCTTGTATGATAAGAATCTGTTGCTGTTTTGAATCATAAAATATACCCCAAGTTTGTATGATACTTGGATGTTTTCGTGCTAATGATCGAAGAATTTTCAGATAATCCGATTTAATAGGATCCATTGGTCGCCGGCTAAGATCATACACTTTGCAGCATAAGGGAAATTCTCTAAACTCTTCATTTTTATGAGTTGTTTTTACTATGCGATCAGAATCTTTTTGTTTTGTTACCAAAACAATATTGTAATCAATTTTATAGCCTTTGAATTCTTTTGAACGATCAACATTTGCAGAACCTTCCATTTCATATAGTTTAATTATGTTTGATCGCAATAATCCGAATGTATATCGGATCATTTTTTCATTGAATGAAAGATCTTTGTTAGGGCTTTCATATCTAGTAGATAATTTTACACCAGATGAACCTGCAACTGATTTTGTTGATGATTTTCTACGGCCAGTCATTGATGAAGCTCGTGAAGCCGATGACCCTGCATTTGATCTTTGTTGTGATCGACTTTTTTGTCTCGGTTTTTGATCACAGGAAGTTTGACTACTAGCAACAGCACTCGATGATTGTCCTTCATTTTCCGAAGTAGGTGCAACAGAAAATGGCTGTTCACGTAATTTACGAGCATCCGATTCAGACATACAACTTGTTGCATCCACATTGGTCATATCATCATTTTCCATATCAGAATGTATACCTTTTTCTTTGGCATAATTTGCCATATCTCTAGTCACGTAGGGCATTTTTCAAATTAAAAAAAAAATTCCTCTAATAACACAATAAAACAAAAAATAACAGATAAACAAAATAACAAATATGTTTATTTTATATCCAAATAGTTTTATTCAAAAAAAAAGAAAAAAATTACAATTCAAATTGAATTAAATTATAGCCAATAGATGTCAGTACAATCTTACACTGAGAAAAATGACCCCCTTTTTTTCCCCCATTTTCCGAAGTAGCGGCACATGCAAAAAATTTTCGGATGCCTCTACCACTGCTGATGATGATGTTGTATGCATTCGATTGTGCGATTTACACTTTAAAAGTTTAGACAATTGTTTTGATGTACTCGGGAAATATAAACAATTCCCATTCATTTTCAAAACACCGGATTTAATTAATGTTGAACGATTTTTCAATAATTATCAGAAAGAATGAATGATTTAATATTTAATCTCAAATTATTATTTTTGATGATCAACCTGATTTGCATTGCAATCAAATCTTTGGATTATTAACAAAATCGGAGGACCTGAAAGATTATCTTGATCGGATTCATGAAATCAAATTGAGTGAAAAACTCAATTGAATTTTTCATAATCAATTTTCTTAAAACTGGAATTGGAGTTTGTTCATCTCATTTAATTTTTTTCAAACAATCTGATGGAATTCGTTTGTTCAATTTTGATATTGGAAAATCAATTCAAAATGACTTTTGGTTGATTTTCAATTGGGCCACTGATTGATCAGCTTGATAATTTTATAAATCATATTTGAACTTCAATCAGATATAAAAACTTGATTTGATGAAGTTTTCGCGAAAAACAATTGAGAAAAACTATTCTGGAGACCTTTAAAAGGAAATGCTTAAGAATAAATCATTTTATAAGCTTTGTCAATATTCAGAAATGAAGCTTTGATTAACTTTGATTAGCTGACCAAAACGATTTACAGAGGCGAAGAAGAAGATCAAATTATCTTTGGAAAAAGAATTACTAAACAAGGTAAGAGGAATAACATTGAATGCTTGTGATATTCATTTTGCTAATCAAATATGTTTTATTATCATCTAAATAACATCATGTTCATAAAACAATGGGTTCATCATCATCATCAATGCTGCCACATTTACCATCATCATTGACAACCCACATTCATCAACGACAACATAGCCATCATTGTGGTGGTCATCATTCATTGTCGTCATCGTCGGATGTCACACAATCTGGCCATAAATCACAATCATCGATTGGTCAACAACAGCAATTGCCATTATCATTATATGATAATCATTCACCAATCTTCAAACCGATTCATATTGATCATCATCTTAAAATTGACATGAATTTCACTTCTTGATACAATTGAAGCTAATCATTTCACAAATCAAGAATTTTTAGATATTAAACCTTGAATGAATGGCTAAAGAGGAATGAAAATCATCAACTTTGACGGATTAAGCCGATAATTTAACGATTTTATCACGTAATTTGAAAATGGATTTTTCTAATGTCCTTTGTGGTCTTAATGTTGTTGTTATCGTTTTTGTTTGATATTTTTATTATTTTGTTTATTATCATGAGTATTTTGTTCTCAAAATTTTAAAGATAAAAAATTTGTTTTATCAAGATTATTTCATTAATTTATTACAATCGATAAAAAAATGAATCAATTTAAAAAATGTATCCATTTGGATCGCAACATTTAAAAAATATAACAGACTATATGAAGGGCTAAAAAAAATTGGCGGATTCGAAAAAAATTCGAATTCGAACGACCGTTGTTGATTTGAGTTCGAATAAGTGAATGTAAACGGTGCTCATTGACTTTCGATTTTCGAGTGAAAATATTGAAATAAGTTATCTCAAAATCAAAAATAAAGAAATAAATCAAGAATTTTGACGTTTCAATAAAAGAATTAATATATTTCTGGATGTTCAACCAAACTTTTATAATAAAATGGTAATTCATGGCGACATTTATCTTCATTTATTTTCGTTTGTGGCAATTGAAAGATTCAAAAATTTTGATCACATTTATGATTTCAAGTTAAGTAACAACAAAATTTATGTGAATTTCAGTTAAATTTTTCTTTTCTAAAAATTTTATCTGATTAATTTCTTCAAACAAATTGTTCGGATTGATTGTTCACTAATGATATTGGCGAAATCTTTTTCAACTCAATTCAAAATACTGGCCAAATAATAGATGATAATTTGGAAATATTTTGTCGATTTTGGGAGAGTTCATCAAAACAAAGATTATTTTGAAAAATTAATGTCAAATATTTGCATCACCATATGAATATTGATGATCGATGACAAAGTTGAACTGACCAAACCATTTGTAATTAAGTATCCTTTTATTTTGGGGATTATTGAAAATTCAGACTTTATTTTTAAAATAGATTTACGAACTGAACTAAATTCGGAGTATGATTCGTTTCCTTTTCATATTTCAAACTATTTCCATAAGTTGGCACTCGTCTATGATCTTGGATATGATCACCTTCAATTGAAACTAATAGATATTCAATCATTGGACAAGAATTTCTGAATTGGATAAGTCCGCTTNATTTTATCTGATTAATTTCTTCAAACAAATTGTTCGGATTGATTGTTCACTAATGATATTGGCGAAATCTTTTTCAACTCAATTCAAAATACTGGCCAAATAATAGATGATAATTTGGAAATATTTTGTCGATTTTGGGAGAGTTCATCAAAACAAAGATTATTTTGAAAAATTAATGTCAAATACTTGCATCACCATATGAATATTGATTATCGATGACAAAGTTGAACTGACCAAACCATTTGTAATTAAGTATCCTTTTATTTTGGGGATTATTGAAAATTCAGACTTTATTTTTAAAATAGATTTACGAACTGAACTAAATTCGGAGTATGATTCGTTTCCTTTTCATATTTCAAACTATTTCCANAAAATTTTATCTGATTAATTTCTTCAAACAAATTGTTTGGATTAATTGGTATTGGCGAAATCTTTTTCAACTCAATTCAAAATACTGGCCAAATAATAGATGATAATTTGTAAAAATTTTGTCGATTTTGGGAGAGTTCATCAAAACAAAGATTATTTTGAAAAATTAATGTCAAATATTTGCATCACCATATGAATATTGATGATCGATGACAAAGTTGAACTGACCAAACCATTTGTAATTAAGTATCCTTTTATTTTGGGGATTATTGAAAATTCAGACTTTATTTTTAAAATAGATTTACGAACTGAACTAAATTCGGAGTATGATTCGTTTCCTTTTCATATTTCAAACTATTTCCATAAGTTGGCACTCGTCTATGATCTTGGATATGATCACCTTCAATTGAAACTAATAGATATTCAATCATTGGACAAGAATTTCTGAATTGGATAAGTCCGCTTTTAATTGAAAGAAATTTGTAAAAAATAATCGTTCTCACAATTTTGCTAGGTTGTGACTTGATTGGCAAACATTTGGATTTTCAGATTTGATGGCAAATGGCATGAAGAGAATTAAGAAAACTTGACTTCAAGTTATCGATTGAAAAAATTTAACAAGTTATCATAATGGCCCAATCAATCAATCTTCATAAATGCAATTTTTTGATATCCTCATTGCTTTCAGTGCATATGTATGTATGATATTTCTTTGAAAGTTTCAATCTGACATTTTATAATTGAGTTCCAGAAACTTGATGTTAATTTCATACCATTCTTAACTCATTTGGTTTGAAATCAATAATGTTTGCGATCCGATCAAGGATTTTCATTTCATCGAAATTCTTTCCCAACGAATTATGATTCCTTATAATCAAGTCTAATTGATGNCGCTTTTTATTGAAAGAAATTTGTAAAAAATAATCGTTCTCACAATTTTGCTAGGTTGTGACTTGATTGGCAAACATTTGGATTTTCAGATTTGATGGCAAATGGCATGAAGAGAATTAAGAAAACTTGACTTCAAGTTATCGATTGAAAAAATTTAACAAGTTATCATAATGGCCCAATCAATCAATCTTCATAAATGCAATTTTTTGATATCCTCATTGCTTTCAGTGCATATGTATGTATGATATTTCTTTGAAAGTTTCAATCTGACATTTTATAATTGAGTTCCAGAAACTTGATGTTAATTTCATACCATTCTTAACTCATTTGGTTTGAAATCAATAATGTTTGCGATCCGATCAAGGATTTTCATTTCATCGAAATTCTTTCCCAACGAATTATGATTCCTTATAATCAAGTCTAATTGATGAAAACAATAGGTCAGTTATGTAAATTCTTGAATTTTTTTTATAATTGATTCTCTTTTTTTAGATTCACATCAAGAACTTTGAAGATATGAAACTTTCATTAAGAAATTTAAAAGCATGTTTTGAACTTGATCATTTTTTGATCGTTTTGATTCAAAGATTTAACTTTCCAAGATGCGATAAACTATTTATGAAGAGTCGAATCGAATTTTGTTTGACTTTCAAATTGACTTATTCATTGACTGTTTTCTTGACTTGAGAATTTCGACTAGGCCATTTTTGACATGTTTGATTCTTGACTTTCGCTTTGACTTGGCCACTTTTGACTTATGAACTCGATGATGCATTTGATTGCTTTTAATTTTTGCTTTTCGACTCATCTAAATATTTATCTTTCTCTTGAAATGTTTGATCAATGAATCAAAATTATCGACTGATGATCAAGTTCAATCATTGACTCGTCAATCGTCACAAACGAAAAAGACGATGAATACTATCACTCTATTCAAATTAAATAAAAGAATCATTGTCAACAAATGTTTCATTCAACGATGATTAATATTCATATCAATCTTCAATAAAAGGTAAATTACTTCTTAATATTTTCAACAACATTGATTCTAATTCTTGTTTGCATTTTCATATCTCGACTTGATGATAACTGAACATTGACGATCATCCATGGATCATTCCCAATTGAACGGTAAATGAATTCTTAATATTCTTGATAACATTGATTCTAATTCTTGTTTGCATTTTCATATCTCGACTTGATGATAACTGAACATTGACGATCATCCATGGATCATTCCCAATTGAACGGTAAATGAATTCTTAATATTCTTGATAACATTGATTCTAATTCTTGTTTGCATTTTCATATC